TGGTTCATGGTTCGTGGTTCATGGTTCGTGGTTCATGGTTCGTGGTTCATGGTTCGTGGTTCATGGTTAGTTCATGGTTCATGGTTCTTGGCTTTACATACAACTCGTTTCCGTACATGAGTGGTATGCGAGCGAGCACTAAAGGACTGATCATATCATGTCATGTCATGTCAGTCTCTAGGGCCTACACGGTTCACTGTTCACGGTTCACAGCTCACAGCTCACAGTCTACGATGTACAGTCCACGATTCACAGTTCATAGTCTACGATTCGGCCCACGGTCCACACAGTCCACGGTCGGTTTTAGGGTAATTCAGTCCTCGGTTCCGGTCTTTAGGATTGTGGTTGGGGGTTGGGTTTTGGTTTTGGTTTTCCCAGAAACTCCCCTTGCCTTCCCTTGCCTCCCCTTGCCTTCCCTTGCCTCCCCTTGCCTTCCCTTGCCTCCCCTTGCCTCGCCTCTGGCCCAATTATACTTATACTTATACCTATACTTATGCACATGCACGCATATGCATGCATAGGATCCATTCCACTGACTGCAGTGCAGTGCAGGCCATACGATTCTCGCGTCCTCGTGCTCCCAGGGATCTTTCTTTCTCTCTTCGCTGGTGTTGCTGGTGTCACTGATCGAGGCGACGAAAGAGAAATCAGCTGCTTACTGACTGTATGGATCCACATCCACATCAATATCCACTCCAGCGCTATCGGCAGCAGCGACTTCAAGACGAAGACCAAAGGCGATTCGATGCGATTCGTCCTCTCGTAAACATACATGAGAGAGGGTTAAATTGGCCTAAAGAGAAAGCTTTAGGCACCTTAGGTGGTCGATCATATGAGATGGGATGGCCCTGGCCCCGCCGTCAGTCAGACAGACAGACAGACATGCTTGGGATCCGATCCGAAATGAAATGAAACGAAACGAAACTAAGCCGAGATGAGGAAATGCTATGTCTATGTCTGTGCTATGCTATGTCATGGTACGTCTACGACCAGAAATGCAGTAATGTAAAGGTCCTGCAAAGGTCCTTCAACGTCCTGCAAGGTCCTACAAGGTCCTCTTCTTCTTCCTCCTCCTTCCCCTTCCCTTCCTCCTTCCTTTCTCACTCTAGCTCCTGTCTTCCATTTCACTCTAACTCCTGTCCTGTCTTGTCTTGTCGTGCGGTTGGTTGGTTGCCTTTTTCCCCTCTCCCCTTTTTTGTCCTTTTTGGCCTTTCGGGGTGGGCGGCTACAATTACAGATTCTAGTGGGCAGTATACATGACGGAGTGGCCGTACAGGTTTTAGGTACCTACCTACTACTCATGGATTATTCTGTGGCCAGCGCCAGGATGAGGATGCTGACTTCCCAGGGCCGACCGACCGGTTGGTGCTCGATCGTGCCTTCTGTGGTCTGACATCTGACGTTGTGAGGTCTCTGAGAGCTGTTCTCTGGCTCTCGGTCACGCCGCTTCGCTTACGCTGTTCCTCGCTCTCTGTCTTGTCTCTGATCCTCGCTTTCTGTTTGTCGCTTCCCCTGAAGCGTCTTTTGTCATCGGTCATGGCCGTGGTCGTGGCCGTGGTCGTGGCCGTGGTCGTGGCCGTGGTCGTGGGTTGACAACGTTGGCCCGCCACGTCTGGGTCTATGCTCTAACCGTCATGACTGCCTCGTCTTCCCTTCCCCGGTTTGCGCGACAGACCAATAGAGGGGGAGTTCGTATTTCGAAGCTTGATGCGGTGAACCCGAAAAACCACGGGCGACTCCGAGCGAGTAGAACAGCCGATCTGGCCCTGAGATGGGGTTAGACAGGCCTCTCATCCAGTAAACCTAGCCTTTTCTGGCCTGCGTCCACACGGTTTATGTGCCATCGACGACAGTAGCACTCGTCACTCACCGCCAGAACGGAACCGTAACCGTGGCCGTGACCGTGGCCGTGGCTTCGATCCCATGTTAGCTCCTGAATATACGTGACCGGTCTGCATTGTCAGAGCGGGCAGAAGATTCTAGGGCGAGTCCGATTGGCTGTTATGTATGGGACGAATCACCAAGATTTCTGCTTACCGGTCGTCGGGCATGCAATCATCGCCTGGTGTCTGGCTGGCGGAAAAACACAGTTCCCTCCTCCCTCCACTGCATCCAAGGAGACCGCTGGACCTGTGCACGGACCTATCGTTCAATCATCCAGACCGAGGGTTGGCGGACCAGCTGCCAACTAACCCCTCGGATCTTCGGTCAGTACCTTCTGTGTTACCAACTTACTGAACGGATAGATGAAACCCTCGTTCAACCCTGGGGTTTATGTGGGGATGCCAGCCTCCAGGCAGGCAGGCCTGTGACTACCCTCGCTCTCGCTCGCCATCTTTCCGCTCCCTCGTATCTCACTTGACGGTGCTGACGCAAAGGCCTGGTACTCTGGACGCCCACGTCCACATTGTGAAGACCCACATCGACCCGGGATAAAGTCACAACACACCAGACGTGGAAGGAAATGACCTCATCCCATCCCATTGACCATCGTAGACTAGGCACCAAGGAACAAACCCTTCACTCCCCAATTGTACGTAGCTGCTGTGCGACAATACTAAGGGGAGCGTGGGGGTGTAGGCAAGGTGTTGTGGCCAATGGAGAGTGGTTGGCATGGCTTGTCTGTAGAGCCTCGCCTGTCCCCAGTCGGTGCAGTCAAAGGTTTTCGGTAATATTCCGGTTCGTGCTCCCTTTCTCCCTCTTTCTCTTGTGAGTCTCGATTGTACCTCTCGTTCCTCCTGGTACAGATACGAGTTGTCCAGTCACCACCCTGGGTCGAAAGAGCTTTCTTCCACCATCCCCCCGCCCTTCGTGATTCACAGTATGGCCTTTGATCTGCTCTCCTTTCTCTTCTTCTCTTAGCCGCGGAAAAGTGTCTTCCCGCAGGTCTGTCTTTGACGCTGCAGTCTTACACCGGCGCTAAGACAATCATGTTTCCTGAAGAAGGTCGCGAGCCAAAGATAGATGACCGACGCATTCGTCACTAGGACAGAGCAACCACCTTTGACCTCACAGTACAGGTGCATAGGTCAAGGGGTGAGGCCTAACGGAGTAGTCATAGAAACTGGTCACGGCCAAAGGGAAGGGTGCCGGCCAGCCATTAGGTGCACACAGTGACAAGAATGTGCCAGTCCTGCAATGAAAGCGAAGGGTCCCTAATTGTTGCTGTGCTAAGTCTTCTGGATGACAACAGCCATATTGATTTGAGTAGGAGTTATGCTGTTTCGATTTCCCATTCAGATTGACCAAGCCGATAAGACACCGATGAATGCGCTTGGACACGCTCAGAAACTGCCTCTGACTTGCTTGCACAAAAACCCACTAGACAAGAGTTCGGATGAAGGTGTTCATTTCACAGTAGTGCAATGCCTTTTATGTTATGGTTCTTTCGAAAGGAGGACTCGAGACGGAAGATGGGACAACCACACAACAATAGTTCACTCAAGTCTCAACTTCTGTCGGCTGATTGAGATGGATGAGGGCCCAGAGCGATAGATCCCGTGCCTTGGGGCTTATGACGGCGAAGTCATACGCCAGGAACGGGATCGTACCCCAACTTGAAGGTGACAGAGAAGCCGGGAGCTGCGCGGTCTAAGATGAGGTCAGCCAGTTCTTGATGTAGAAGGGGTGAAAGGAGGATGGTAATACTGACCGTACAGCTCTATCGTTTGAGGATGGTCGGTTCGCACTTTTGGCAGTATTCATGATTGCACTCGGTGCATTTCTTGTACAAATCGAAAGAATTCGGGACCTTGAGCAAGGATTTTGGGCACTGGCAGCAGAACCAGTGTGTTCCGGGTCGGTTGACAGGAGCACGGGAGGGTCCCATGTTGTAGGATGGAGATTGAAAGTGCGCTATTTCAAATTGAATGTAGACGTGGGTCACGTTTATCCAGACGGTTTGTGCAAGAAGTACGGCAAAAGAGAGCTGGTGATTGTCTCAACTGCAAAAGCCTCGAGACTCGTGGAAGTAGTGGTGACCTTATAAAGCATCAGGAGAACGGGTGTGAGAAACGCAAGCTCTCGTCTTGGAACTGGGTGGCTGCTGGCTGTTGGATACAGTGGAGCCACAAGACCGCCTAGTAGGCATAACGAAGATATGAGCCCTGCAACAAGGCATCCAGACCAGTAACCACCAGGAGTCATGGCGTTCAATCCTGGTTCTCCCTTTAGAAACATCTTGGACCATTCAGGCGGCTATGCCCTCCACTGGTGGGGAAGCAAGGATTGACACGGTGGTCTGGGTTGAACTAAAGACTCCTAAACTCATTGTGTTCGCCCAACGTTCTCGGTTTCGCACCTGCTTGTCGCCAGGTATCAGCGGAAGGCCGATCAGGATAGAGGAGTGACCTTTCCCAGACGCTGCTCTGACTTGTGCACGTGGGGCCAACTATGGGGCTTAACCTGTGTTTCTCGTTCCAACGGCCATGGATTGGATTCCTGCTGGGGTGTCGAGTTTGCATACCCCAGTCAGTTGTAGGAGGGGCGAAGCCGAGAATGTGCAGCCCGCAGTCTCGTGAAGTTCGGTTAAAGGATCGCCGATCGGGAACAGAACAATCATTTCTGGCGGAGCCATGCAGTGCATTATGGCAGTGATTGTCTCCTGGCAAAGACTCAGGCAGAAAGGCACTGGATTGTGGTGCTAAGCCATCCTAGGTTCGCCTCGTCCGCCTTTTTGGCCTGCCACACAGATCTCATGTGCTAGAAACAACTTGCAAGTCGCAAAGAGGGGTGATCTTGATTGTTTAGAAGTAGTATGCATGTTGGGTGGAGGGAACATCTGAGGTAGGCTATGTACAGAAACGTCAACTCCTGCATGCAACGGCCGGCGAGGCTTCCTCGCAGCCACGTGGACTTCTGCAGTCGGAGGCATGCTTAGCCGGGACACGAGCATCCCGTCTCTCTCATTGGGACAGGCGGATGGGAAGGTCGGAAAGGCTAGAGGGTGTGAAACAGATTAGGCGCTCGACGGTCAGTGGTCCGATCGTATGTTTGCCAAGAGAGAAGAATTCAATATCGAGACTGAAGCGATATACTTTGATGATGAAAGCCTGCAGATTTAGGCCCTGGTGGACAGGGGGCTGAGCAGGCAATGCGACGGGGAGCAGGTCAGAAAAGGGAGGAGGATGGCAGGTAGGAAGACAGAGAGGGAGGTGGAGGTGACAAGCTGAAGAAAGTCTGAAACTGGTTAGGCAACTTGGATTGTAAAAGCGGCCACAGACCGGAGTCAATTAAGTAAGTTCGTAGTAGATAAGGCTGGGAATGGCTCCTGGTGCTCCCTAACAACATTCTAACATATGTGCGTTCTAGTACCAGTCCAGAGTACAGAGAGGTACGTACTACCCTCGTCAGAGGCCGAGAGTAGGTGTCACTCGAGGCACATGTGACATGTTCTCGCCAGGAAATCCTCGCATAACCCTGTTGATCTCTCAGCTAAAAGACACACCCTCCAATGCAGGATCCGCCAGATTGAATCAGAACCCGCAATCGCTCACACCCATAGAAGTACGGCCTCCTGATCTGGATACTATCGCATTCTCGTCGCGACCATGGTCCTTAGCAGTTCCCACTAGCATTCAACCAGTATCACTTCTCCTGCATGATGCAATGATTATACTTCCGCAACCTCCCACACCCGAGAATATTGAAGACGAACACCGTCCTAGATGCCTGAACCATGGACCATAAACCTTCAATCCGACCGTCCGCTCCTTTCCAGTGGTCTGGTGCTCGAACAAGTGCAACTGGACGCTACTCCACGGTCAGTCAGGGGCGGCGCAAGAATCAACCACCGCATACTCACCGGCCCTAACGAGGGGGGCGCCGATCTTCTTTTCGTGATGGGCTCCTTTGTTTGATGTGAACCTTTCGACAATTGATACATCGTCTCCGATGGCATGAGGGGCAGTGGGTATGGATGGCATCGAGATTGACAGTCTGGCACTGACAACACACCCAGCCATTGGCAGGGCCGACTTTCTGTCTCTTTTCCGGCATCTCGGGATGGAGGCACGATGGACAGATTGATGGACAAACGGGATATAAGTCAGAATCAACGGATATTGGGCTGCTTGGGAATATTCGTTAGAAGTGAGTGACAGGTTTTGGAAAAAATGGTGCGTGCGAAAGGATTTAAATGCTTTCTGGCTGGATAAGGGTCTGCTTGTTGGAGTGTCGACTCTTCGCCTGCATGGTCTGCCTTCCTCAAAAGAATCGCATCGCCATGGCACGCCCAGGGTTTGCCTGACCATCTCCATCGTGCACGACAGGCTTGATTCGAGGGCTGATCGTCCTGTAGCACTGTAGAGACATGTGCTGTGATCCCCGGTGACGCGTAACTTGCAGGGCTAGGAGAAGAGGCAGAGAGAGAAGCAGCGCAGCCAACCCAACAATCGAGGAGATCCCCAATGAGAAGCCATAGAGTCCTCCCCAAGAAGTTGACAGGTCCGGTGAGGTATTTTTGAGCGTGAAATCTGAGGAAGATATCACTAGCCTGGACGGGACAAACCCGAGAATGGGAAGTTATGTTTGTTTCTCGTGGACATGTTACTCCCTTGAACTTTGCTTACTGTGGCTTGAGCAGTGGAACCAGAGGGGAACCAGACCATCCAAGGCGGAATCGTGACCATTACTTCCGTCTCGTCGAGTGGATGGCTTCGTCAACTCTGTTCTATCATTGCCATGATCAGAATTGAGTATAGTGGCTGCCTCGCCCAAACTCCGCTCCGAGCTTTACAAGGCAGTGGGACCGTCGAAGTTGTTAAGACTTGCTTCGCTTTTGTGCAAACATGTTTCGTCCTAGTCTCCGAGTCATTCAGTCCGCAAAGTATCCAACTCCCCGACGGCTGATTGGTCTTCTGCGTGACTAAGAAAACTGGTCGGGGTTGATGGCAAAATCACGGGTTGGCCGACAGTCTAAGGCTAGGCTGGTTGACCTTTGTTGCTATGGAGGTCAAAAGTCCGTCCTTTTGTTGCAGGGCTGCATAAACCCCTCCGAAGGTGTTGGTATGGCCTTTCATTTTGGGAGAGGGGCCAATTGTGGCGCCGGAAGAAGATGACCTCAACCGCCAAACTACCTGCATCATTGCAGTGTCCTGGCTGGACGTCAAAAATTCTCCAGTGAACAGTAGCCAGCAAGGATTGATTGGGTGCAGGCATCGCATCGTGCATGACATCTGAAACCCTTCTGCAAGTGGTCAGTAGGTGAGACTCGATCTTTCAGGCAGAACTTCCACGCAGTCCAACAAAAGTCCCCCGGTCTCTGGCTTGGCAGGCAGCCTGAGCCTATGCCTTAGGAGGTAGGTGCCAGGCATCCGGCCCTAAGGCTTAGGGGCTGAGGGGCTTAGGCTCCTGCAGTGCATTATGGTGCACGACAACACAAAACTCCCTGGGCCACGTCACACAGGCCAGTTCAACTAGTGCAACCACTTCTGGATTGGTACAGGCACTGTTTCATTGTTTCAGATGTGATTCTTCGCAGTGTACGCTGTAAGAAACACCATCCCATTCTTGACCAAGTGGACCTCGTCGCTCTTGCTTCCCATCAGGCTGAAGCCACCAGGCGGAATAGTGATCGAGGTGGTCCGCATGGTGGAGTCTAAAGGTAGTGCGCTCAACATGATCCAAGCTACTCGCCTCGTTCTAGGATCTGCCTTGGGCACTAGGCTGTGGCTCAGGCTCAGGCTCAGGCTCTACAGAAGGAGTAGATGCCCATAAGGCTGTACTACTAGCGGATCGGGGTATGCGGCCAGGTGGCGAAGCTAGAGAGCCCTGTTTCATCTATGCGTACCTAGAAGATTCTTCCCTATACGATCAGCGATGTGCCTAGCAAGTTTCTACTAGCCTCGAAGTTGACATATGCGGGCGAGGAGGAAGATGTTGAGGACAGTAGGAAGAGCGCAGGCGCGAAGTCGAAGGGGGAGAAGACCGGCCATAATCGAGCGCCTTGCAGACCATCGCGTGCTGAGAGGTCATCTTATTCAGAGTCGGCTAGCGAGGCCAGTTCGAGGGAGTCTCGGCCGGGAAGTTATAGGGCTTAGGGCTTCTGGATTTCGGAGAAGCCTGGTGGAGGTCAGCGAGATCTGAGATCTAGCTATCATTGTGGCGTCTGCGTAGACTGCAAATGCATAGAATGGTCCACAGGCCGGTAGAAAGGGCTCTATCGATGAAGTCGCCGGATACTAACTAGGTAGTACCTAACCTTAGTACAGTAGTATGTAAGGTACCTATGTGACGGGAGGTTGCAGTCGGGAGATGTCGCAGTTGACGATGCCCAGGCACTAAAATATATCGCTGCTTTTAAAGTCACCTAGAACCACCACCATCCATACCACACTGGCTGACAAAACCGTGATTGTTACCGCTCCTTCAGAGTTCCCCTTTACGCCCTAGTTTCCTAATGGTTTTTTGTTTGTAGGCAATACTATCGAGGCTGCTGTCAGTCTGAACTGATCCCCAAGCCCTACGGCCAAAGAGTGATGATCTCTTTAGCTAGACATCCTCTACATTGGCGCAAGGCTGTCCGGCTCAGGAGGCTCACTGGGCTCTGGCCCCCCACCATCAAGGGGCCAAAATATCGACATTCTACCTGGATGTGGGATCGAATCACTACTCGCAGATCTCCTGAAAGATGGATACTGTTCAAAATCCAATAGTATTACCGAGTTGTCTATGAATACATCGCTGGGACACTATGCCGGCCCTAGAAGTTCGCTAAATTGCATCGTGATCGGCGAGGCTGATAGTCTTTTGCTATGGTCGAACCGAACTCCAAGGAATGGCCAAATCCTGCAAAGCCGCCAGCGCTATGCCGATCATGTATTCAAGACTCCATGCATGCATGCAAAGAGAGCTCCCACCCAAGCCAAACCCGTCCGCATGGCCTCCAAGGACAACTCGCCCGTATTCGCTGCCCTCACTTCTTTATATTCTGGACCTTGCAGCCACCGCACCGTTTAACGTGGCAGCTGGAGCAGTACTCGTTATTTATGACCGACATCGGGCCGTTCTTGCAGTTGCAGCAGTACCAGACTTGATAACTTGCTCCGGGGCAGACAATGAATGGCACTGAATGCGACTCGGTGGCGTCAGACTCGTCCAATCCTCCTCGGACCGTGGCTTGGCCCATGAGATGATCTGCTGGAAGTTCGGACGTTCTGTAAACGAGTCCCTGTTGCCCAGGATATGTCTCGGAGGGTATCTTGATACTGAATAACCAGTGTCAACTGGGAATAGGGAATATTTCATGTCTTGTAGACTTACCACATCGTGTCGCCTGAAATTCTTTGTCGAATTGAGATTTGGTTGAACTTAGAGACTTGGGTCGAGACAATGAGGATTGTGGATATAAGGAAAATGGGAAATGGGAAATGAAAGGGGTCGAAGCTAGGGAGACACGGACAAGTTATCTTAACTCGACTCACTATACGGACCTGAAGTCCCTCCCAAACTTAGGAGCTTCACTTGAGGCGTAGGGAGGCTGTGCTACAAACAGGACAGGCCAATTGTCATGTAGACTGTGCCGCTTTGAACGCTTCACTTTATCCAGTACAAGATATCGCTGTAGCATCGATCCACTACAGTTTCATATGATTGTGAAACGAAGGGTGGCGCAGGAATAGCCATGTGAAGAAAGCAGAAATACGACAAATTTCAAGGCGGATTCAAACGGAACCCAAGTGACTTCTTGACTCTCAGTGGCCGACGTAGGCATGCTGCTAGACCAGAAGGTTCGGAATTTACAGCTGGAGATCCAAAAGTATTGGAGCAAGGCGTGAATTTGACCAGCCGAACAACTGCTCATGACCAGCCACTTACTGCATAAAATGCGCAGCTGGGGACACTGAGAGGAGCCACGTCAAACTCCCTGGGTAAAACTTTTCGATGAGAGGACGGTGTGCGGGCTCCCGAAATGGCTGCTGCGGCGAACCCAGTTTGCCTTGCGCAGGGCGGCACAGGCAACCCATTTTGCCCAATCTTGACAGAACCAGAAGTTGAGCATCCGTCACATTTTCAATAACATAGCCCACTATAGATCCTTGTACAGCAGTAATCTTCGAAGACAGATGGTTCCGGGTTTCACGACAAAGCGTCAGTTGCCCCTCTCGAACATCTGTAGTTGGTCAGTATGACGAGGCGAGGCTAGAGCGGCGGAGACGAGGTAATTGCCCTCGGTGGCTATCCCGAAGAGTGTTATCAAAGGCTCGCAGCGCCTCGGCGTCCATGTGGATTGTAGACCGAGGAAGGGAAGGGAAGAGCCATGCCCCGTAGGTAGGCCCCAACGGGTGTCGGAGTAGCTGGTTGGGAGAGGTCGAGAATGGGAGTTTCTAGCAAGCTAAGAGATCACATGCCCGAGACACGCATCCAAAATGGAGGAGATTTGGGCTTCCAGAGGCAACCTTTGCAGCTCAAAGGTCAAGAAGGTACTCCGTAGTATGCCTCGCTGTCGACCGTCGTTGAAAGAAACAAGACTCGCCGACGTCAGAGCGCCAAGACCATCACGTGTCACGGTCTTAAATCGCAGCCTGATTCAAAACCTCGCAGCGTGACAAAGGTGTGTTTGCAATCAGCCTGGTATTACAGAAATTGAGGCATTGGCTAGCTGCATATGGCCAGGCATGAACCAAGCTGATACATAGCTGGGAAGAACTAAGGTGTGTTGCGCGCACAAAATCGATCAATCCGACAGCATATCTCCCCCACGCGAAGTTTTTGCATTGAACTTTTCCTGAAGACAGCTGCATTTGTTTGGCACCTAAAGAGGGCTGGCGGACAGTGTTTGACCACCCCACGTTAAGCCGTGACCAACGAGTCGCTGCATAGGAGGTCGAAGCCAGCATTCCGGACACAGTGCATACCATTACGCTAGCGATGCGTCTACAACTCATATCCGTCATGCCAGCTACAAAGCACTCTGATCTGCCACCAGCATTCCCCCAGCCGCGAATCGGCCAATCGATCGGCCTGCTTGCACACCATTCGCCTACCATCAAGCACCAGACAGAGCGGGTGTAAGCCGACATTAGAGCCACGCACGATGATGGGTCCCATTCTGCATGACCTAGGGCGACAGCGTGGGGTACCTTTCTCGTGGCCTTTCGGCACCTCATCAGTCTCAAGTTGAAGTCTTACCATGGACTGAACGCTCTTCTCGCCAGTCGCCTGCACCAGAGTCATTGTCATGGAGCTTTGGCAGTACAAAAATCCCCACGTTGGCTCATCAGTACCCATGGTTGCCAAGTCAGTGCCAATGATTCGGCTCTCCAATCCTTTCACTTATCATCTGTTGATTCGCCGAACTTTATGGCCAACTCGAAGGACCACCGGAGGGTGAGCCGCAAGTGTAACAGCCGGTCTGTCGCTGCTTTATTCCTCACTGCTAAGTTCTACCCTTGCTTCGTTTCCGAAACCCTGCTTACTGGTACTGCCCCACCCCCAACGTCCATCGCCACGTTTGAAGGGATGTCCCTGGTAGGCGCCTGGTAACGTGGGGCTGCCGACACACATTTGGTCGCAGCTGTCCACAGACAGCATTTATAGAGGGCACAAATAATGTCTACAGCCTGCAATGGCTGCACCTACGTCTCCTCGTTGGGCCACGCCCAGTATGGTAGCAACGCCGGCTCCACCCGTTCTCACAACCCTCCGACCACTTCTAGTTGATTGCTCTCCAAGTTATTCGTTAACCGCTCAGTTCTGGTGCCCAAAACACCTAGATCTTGCCATGGCTTCGTCATCAACCTGATCATGGTTAGTTTACAATCAGACATCGTCAGCCTTACTATCTCCCGGGACTGAGTCTCTCCTCAACCTCCAACAAGGCGGCGAAATTGTCTGATGGTGAAGGTGATGTGTATCTTCACCATTGGTTCTGCAAATGGGGCAGAATTCTTGATCATAAATGGCCATGTCTTCAGGTAATACATGCACTAACAAGTCGGGATATTGCAGGGGTTGTCTTGTCAGGGATGCCGGGCTAAACGGGCCTCAAGCTTGTCCGTACCAGTTGTTGGATTCCACGAAGCGAGATAGCATCTACAGCGGGAATTTGGAGTGGCGGCAAATGCCATAGTCAAAGTAACCACCTGCCCGAGCCCAGGCGTGTATTTAGTTTGACCATTGGACGAACAGCCTGCTCATGCCCAACTACCCGCTTTTTCATTTCACTCGCTCTCCTCATCTTCTCCCCGTAATAGAGGTCTCTCCGCAGTTGTGGATTCCATCATGTATCAGCAATAACAGATAAAGGAAGAGTGGCTGGCTACCTAAGTACCTGACATTTGCAATTCCAACTGCGTTTAGTTCGCGCGAGGCTGAACCAGCGAGCCTTGTGCTACGGAGAACCATGGTACTTGGTAGCGCAGCGTCGCCGAACTAGAGTCAAACTCGCCGTCTTTCCGCTTCACGACGCTTTTTTTTTCTTTCCTGTCGGTTACACTTTGCACGTTCACGAATTCTGTCTTGCATGGGTGGGCGTCACTTGCGTCGGGCAGGTATCTCCTTATGGAGCTATCAGTCGCCGGCCAGGCTGTGGTCAAGCTCCGCGCTCCGGTCTTCCGGACACAACAGATGGTCGAAAATTAGACACGACAAGGGCAAGGCCGATGCTGCCAAAAGCAAGGCCAAGACGATGTTGTCACATGAGGTTATCACAGCCTCAAAACGTATGATCGCCGCAACCATTTGGTAGAATAGTACCTCAGGAACTGACTGGTGCGTAGTTGGCGGCCCGGATCCCTCCCTCAACTCGAGACTAGCCTCTGCAATCGCCAATGCCAAAAAGGGGCAGCTTTCCAAAGCCTCAATTGAACACGCCATCGCGAAAGGCCAGGGAAAGTCTCCAACTGGACAGGCTCTTGAACACGTTATAATCGAAGCCATGCTCCCGCATGGAGTGGCAGCCATGATCGAATGCCAGACCGATAATAAAAACAGGACGCTACCGGACATTCGGTCGATACTCAATAAAGCAGGTGGAACGGTCACTCCTACGGCATTTCTATTCGAAAAGAAAGGCAGAATCGTGTTTGAAGAGCAGGACAAACTCGGGGTGGACGACGTCTTGGAGGAGGCCATTGATGCTGGTGCCCTTGATATATCGTCTGAAGACAGCAGGCTAACTGTAGAAACCGCGCCTGCCGAGGTCATGGAAGTTGCCAGAATACTACAAGATCGGTTTGGTCTTCGGGCGGAGAAGGCGGAAGTCGTGTACGCGCCCAACGAGGACACCCTTGTACCGTTGACAGAGGAACAAGAGGAGGAGCTGGGACACGTCTTAGACTTGATAGAAGAGGATCCTAGTGTCCAGGGCCTATACGTCAACGCCGTCTCACAGTGACATAAGAACATGCTTAGATTTCTCTCCCGCGACGCTATTTGACAGAGGATCTTCTCAAATCATCTCACTCTGATAGATCATTGATGGGCGCGGCCAGCCAGGATTTATGGCGGAGCAAACGGCAGAAGAGCGCAGTAGCAGAACATACGACCGCCAAGAACAACATCTGTTCTCCCCGCCATCACGATCTTTGCTTGAGTACTCATCACTTCAGCCAGCTCTCGTCGCTGGGTATAGACAGCTAGATTGTACGCCGGAGTTCCCGAGCCAATGTATCCTCATACAACAGGAAGTGCTCCGTCTTGCCCTTCGCCGAACCACCAACAGCATGGATCCCGGAGCCACAATCACAACATGGCAGCAGGCCTTTGAAGAATATCGCATCCCCGTAACGCGGGCTATTGAGAAACAATTGCGTGCAAGCGCGGCACGCGACAGAGAAAAACTACGCGCTCTAGTTGGGTAGGCTAGCTCTCTCTCTCTCTCTCTCTCTTTCCGCCATCCCACTCGCGTCACGCAGAGGATTCGGCACTCCTAGCTGAAGGACACCTCCAAGGGAACATCTCGTGCTGACGACGACTACAGTGGGAGCTATCGCGATCTACTAGCCACTGCGGAAGCAATAGTGGGTTTGGAAACAACATCAAAGGCCGCAGAAGAACACCTAGCATCCATCAGTCTTAATTGTCGGCCGCCGAACCAAGATGTATCTGCTCGACCGCCTGCTCCTGAGAAGGTCGCATTGGCCCAAGTACGACTGTTACAGCAATGTTGCATCACGTCAGCTACGGCTTTGCGGGCTCAAAATATCCTGCAATGTGCCCAACTGATTGTGGTTTCTAGCTTGCTACTGAAATCCCTAGGTGGCCAGCAAGGACTGATCCAGAGCCTAGAATTCTTGAGAGACAAGATCGGCCTACTACGGCGACAGCTGCTTCGGCAGGTGGATGCTAAACTGGTGAATCCTGTATCCAACCGCTCAGGCCTTCTCAACTCGCTGTGCTCTTATTGCTTGGTCACTAGTGTCTCTTCTGAGGACGCCCTTGCCCATCTCCGCCAGCTCAGGCTAGATAAGCTCCGACGACAGTTGACAAAGTCCGGGAATCGAGACACCATCTCCAACGCTCTTCAGTATCAAATCATATCTCTACAGGCCTTCAAATCTTTAACCGGACGCCCCATTGTCGAAGCGATGAACGGTCTCCAAAGAAGGCCAATTCTGGCCGACCCGACGATCAGAGAACTCGAGACTTTAGATCTTGACAGGACTTGGCCACTACTTCCTACCGAGATCCAGACCTTTGTCCCTTATTTCAAGCGTAGCACGTCAACCTCGGAAGAGATAGAATCTAAACTTGAGGCATGGTCGCTGGAAGTATCTCGAGTTTTGTCCACCAGCTTGGACCGTCATCTTGCAGGCATGAATGATATTACAACGGTCCTAGAGCTCAGAAAGGAACTATACGCGACCTTACTGCCTTCCTACTTTTCCACCCCGGCTAGCGCAAACATTACAGAGCATATTAGACAGTCTCTCAACCAAAGACTGAACACAATTTGTCAGGAACAGGGTTCGCGGTTGACCGAGATCACGAGACTGTTGTCAGATGGAACCCACACAAGACAGTCGACCAAGTCCTTGTGGGATGCTGAACTAGTGCAAACAAGCTTGAGCCATGGTGGTTCCAGATTCACCAAGCAAGTGAAGAATCGCCATGCCGGCCTCAATGGAGTGTTGTCCAAAGGTGCCAAATTATTGGATGCTTGGCTACTGTCTGTCAATGATACGCAGAATCAGATTGACGAACTGGTCAAGATTCGTTGGCGAGACATCGTGGAAGAGCCTGAAGAAGAACAAGAAGACGACGCTTCAGAGCTCATCAGAGCGCTTTCGGAGAAGGACAAGGAGATTTACAGCAACAGTCTGCAAGAATCGCTACGCAAGTCGTTGGCAGACTACCAGAAGAGCATGGTCGAGGCTACATCGTATATCACCGATACTACCCCTAGTGTTGCTAGCGCGGTGATGCTACTACGCTCGATACGAACATCAACGGTGGCATTGCAACGCGCCTTTCTAGACGATTCACGATTTGAAAGCCTGGACACTCTGGTGACAAAGTTGCACGAAGTCGTCGCACATGAGGTCACCCGTCGACTGTCTCAATCCATGGAAGAGGGCACAAGACCCCAAAAACTAGGCAAGACCACGTTGCCAAATGACATGCCCTCGCCGACCGCTTTTTCGACGTTAAGAAAGCTATGCAAGATCATGCTTGAGATTGGTGGGACCGACCTGTGGTCTCCTCCTGCGGTCAGTATGGTGAAAAAAGCCGTCTACCATCGGATCTTTGGTACAGCGAACGTATCTTCTTATACCTCCAGCGGGTTTGACCAAGCCTACCTCCGCGCTGCACTTGGCCCCGACCCGCGGCAAAACTTGTCAAAAGAGTCGGACTCCGAAGCAGATGTTCCGGCAGCGGCCGAGTACTGGACAAGAACAAAGCTGCTGTTTGGTGTGATTGCCTAGGAGTCTGCGGTCGTGCAACCGCCGGGTTCGATGGAGGGGATGAAACGCATACATTTGATCCATCAAATCCAGCCCGGTCGGGTCTGCAGCTTCGAGGTCTTGGCTGGTATCTTTTTTGGAGATCAACAGACCAGGCTATGCATAGCATAGGCTGTCTTTCCAGGTGTCACATCTTCGACTTCAGACTTGGCCACAACGTCCTTCAGATTTTGGTGCGACATACAAGTGCGAGGGCCTCATCTGGTGTTCCGCTTGGTGATATGGGACTGGTGGGCTCAAGAACGTACCCTTTGAGTTGCTGAGAGCAGAGTACAGCAAATCCTCTCGCCGGGGGCCCAACCTACTGAAGCTGGAGATGTGATGTGCCCCAGCATTAGACAGATCCTTCCGCTCCATCTGGTTCCACTGGATCTGAGTCTGGCAGGAGAGTACTGGCAAATCAATGTGGGCTGCAGCTATTTTCGAATGAGTCCGAGACGGTCGGCCTGGGTGAGGAGAGATGCACGAAATCCTCCGACTCGCTTTCCTCCTCCTGGCCCATTTCCTAAAAGCGAGAAGGGGATCGCAAGAGGGTATCATGATGCCATTAGGACGATGTCGGGGCCGAAGCCCAGTTTAGTTCACTCAATCAATATGTACGGTCACACTCTCGTTACAGATTGCCAGGAGATGGAGGGAGGCAACGTACCCCCCAAGCCCGCTTCCACAATGTGCAGCAAGGTGTGCCGTTTTCGGACGGCCCATATGCGCGCTACACACTACTAGCACCTGCAGTCAATTGATACCATGGACCACTGGCGTGGCACGGGCGACGTATATACCTGGCTTTACTAGAGCTCCAGCGGAATACCGAGCCCGAACCTCGAAACTAGAAGAGCTTTAGAGGGTGAGACACCTATGAGGGACAAGACTCGGCCTGCTGCGCTTCCGCTGGAAAGTCGCTCCTCGAATCTGTCGGTGTGGACCAAGCACGTTTGAGGTCCAACGTCTTGATTAGTCGCGGGCTGTGCAGAGTCATGCTCCAAGTAATCAGGGCTATCATTGCCCAAGACGGCATGGAGTCCACCTGGGCTATGAGCGTTCTATGGAGTAGTGTTGCGATTCTCTTATTGAAGATCTCAACGGCCATCGACATGGCTGCACGGTTGACGCTTGCGTGTTTCAACCATATCCATATCCAGCGGGCACCAACCGACCAGTGGGCATACAGCGGCGCTTTCGAGGATCCCAAGGACCCGCACCGCCCAATGTCTTCTCATGCTATGCAGCTCGGGTTTCCATTGGTTCTATATGCCATCCGAGTTTTACGTACACTTTCCAACGCACGCTGGATAGTCTGCATGAATAGTCTGTTGCGGAGACAGCTTTGTTGGCAATTTAGTCAACGGCGACCTGGATATTCAATGTGTGGAGCAAAGCAAAACAGGGCCGTCAGGCAAGGTCTTCCGAAGCCTCATCTGGCACTGGCACATGGGAGGTGGACGAGCCCTCCTCGAAGCCTTTCAAACAAACACACCCTCACCCACGGAGTACTTGTACTTACTGTACATTATCAACAACAAGAGTCCCCTGGCCCACGGCCTTTGCCCTCGGCCTGTTCAGTGTCCGGCACCCCTGGTTGCAGCGGCTCGTTCCGGGCAACGGGAGCACGCCATTCTTGCAACGGTTTTTGCACATCACAACAGTGGGGCGATTGCATACTAGCAAGTACTGTAGATACTGTACGTACATATGCAGTGAGACGGTGTCTGAGTCTGACGCTTCTCTCCCAAAACGCATCGATCCTGCATGGGCAGTGACAAATTAGGCTAGAGTGGCCTTCTGCGTCCCCATTTCGGAAGGCCAATTGCACAGGCGACAACGACAATGGATATCATTATCCGCCCATGATCTGTCTGACATGCCGGTTGATCGCTTCAGATGTGAACCAGGAGGTGGGTTGTGGGTTCTCATACCCTACCACAGGAAACACAATCATCTCGCCCAGCTGCAGGGTATGCCAGCTCACAAAGAGCAGTCCAGCGCACAGCAACATGACCACAGTGGTTCTCCATTTTACGTACATAGCATCTATGCTAATGCTCGACGTTGAGCCAACTGCTGGCCGGGTTGAAGGCGCAAAGGGTGTCTTGTGCTGTACAACGAGCCACGTCAACCCCCCAGAGGAAAGGTATATCAGAAAGCCTTTGACCGACTAAATCTCCCAGCTTTCACCAAGTCAAACAATTGCAGCAGGCTCTTATAAGTATTCCACCTGCAACTCTACGACACAAGCAGCACACAATGGTGGTACGTCCTTTCAGCATCACACCGCTCGGTGGGAACACTGTACTGACCATCCTTTTGTCCAGAACCTTACCGACAGCAGCGGCGAAATCATCGTGTCCAACTTGGACGACTGGTACAGGATTGTGCTCGCCGATGGCAGCGAACTGGGCTTTGGCGACGCCTATCCAAGCAAACAGAACGTTGACAGAACCCTGATCAAGATTGTTCCGGCCGGCCAAGGCCTGGTCTTCCGGTACCAGCGAACCGACGGGGGTGACAGACTTAGCCAAGGCTGGCCTATTGGGGACAAGGGCTGGCTTCGCGGCAAGCACGTCAAGCCTGACGGTACCGAGGTGGTTAAGAACCTGTCTCTGTCATGGGAGCCGACCAAGCTTGCCCTGTACGAATCCAACGACAACTACGGTTTCGTCGCTCAACAGTTGCCGGGGAACAGGGTTGCGCTGTATGCCTACGATCGCCACGGCAGTGTCCTTGGGCTGGCCGTTACGCCGGACAAAACCGTCATTGGTTATGCGAGCAAGTATGCCACGTCTCTTGATGTTTCTTTCGTGAAGACCGGGAGCCACTTCAAGGGTCATTTCTGAGGGGCTCTGCCACGAACCAGGGTACAAGGTCAGGGTGAAGGATCCTGGCAGATCTGAGGAAGGCTGGAGGTGGGGGCACGGCTACAAGTGCTAGTGCTTGTATCCCATCGAAAGGCCGATAGTTTTGCAGAGGGTTAAGGTGCATGTGGGAAGCCACGAATCGAAGAATCTTCCATCGCTCGCTCAGTCCAAAGACCCGTACATCTGGGGCTGGGGCATGCCCATCCTGTTGTCAGCTACCTAGTAGTCAATTAGCATTAGCATTATCACATCTCCGTCCAATAAACCAGACCAGATTGAGCTTTCGCGATGGTTCTGGTTCTGGTTCTGGTGCGGAAGACCTTTGCGGAGCAGCAATATGGTCTATAGTCTGTTCTCTGTGAATGGTTATGCTCAGAAAACAGGGCACGACCTTATCCGTGACATGTCAACTCCGTTCTGCGCTCTGTATCAGATAAAGTGCCAGTGGTTGTGGTTGTCTGAAACCGGCCAAGTCACAATCCGGCAGCCGAATATGGAACGTCAGCCGAGTTGACTGTATCATCTATGTATCTACTATCGACCGTCCTAGACACCCTTGTTTGATCCTCGATGCCTCCATGAAGCCCCAATCGAGAAATATTTGTATGCCTGGCCGATCAAACCTGTCCTTCCATTTACCGACATGGTCTGAGTTCCTGCGCACATGCTCCGTCCTCCCTCTGCTTCCCCAGCAATATGCAACCCATCGAACTGCAGCCGATCAATCTTATCAGAGCGCCCCTAGTTAACTCAACCAAGCTCCGAGAAAGCTCCTTCGATCATGCTTCTGAGAAAAGACGGTCTCGAGATTGGCCGGAGACACGATCCTTCCGTCGCCCTGCTGCAAGATGACACCAACGAGGAGGAAGACGGCAGAGCTGGCATCACCGACCTTCCGACTGTGGCTGGTAAGGTTCCGCACCACGACTCCGTACAATTGCTGATGTAACTACCGGAAGGCAAACCGCACATGGCCTTCGACATGGTCGACACGTTCCTGTTGCCTACCGAAGAGGAGCTTGACACGCTTCCTCGAGTCGCCGACAAGATCCCGTGGAGGGTGTACACGGTGGCGTTTGTGGAGCTCTGCGAACGCTTCTCTTACTACGGCACGCAGATCTTGTTTCAGAACTTTGTGCAGCGCAAACTCCTCACTCCGACCGGCAGGGCTCCCAATCCCGGTGGTGACACAGACAACAACCCCGGGGCTTTAGGCCAGGGCCAGCAGATCGCCACGGGACTCGGCACCTTCTTCTCCTTCTGGTGTTATGCACTTCCGCTTCTAGGAGCCTGGCTGGCCGACACGTACCTCGGAAGGTCGGTTCCAGCCTCGCCCCGTGAGATGGTCGTTCTCGCTTACGACTGACAGCTAACCGGTGGAGTGTACTCTATTCTAGGTACAACACGATCATGGTCTCCATCGCCTGTGCCATCCTCGGCCATGTCATCCTGACCATCAGCGCGGTCCCGTCTGTGCTCGAGAACACCAACGGAGCCCTGGTGGCGTTCGTGGTCGCAATCATCATCTTCGGTCTGGGCACCGGCGGGTTCAAGCCCAACATTTCCCCTCTCATTGCCGAGCAGATTGGCGGGGAGGAGCTGCGGATCGCGACGAACAAACGAGGCGAACGGGTCATTGTCGACCCGGCCCAGACGTCGGCTCGGATCTACAACTGGTTCTACCTGTTCATCAACATCGGCGCGCTGGCCGGCCAGCTCTCCATGTCGTACGCGGCACTGTACGTCGGCTACTACCTCGCCTTTCTGTTGCCAACGGTCATGTTCCTGCTGTGCCCGCTGGTGCTGATCGTGTGCAAGAAGCACTACCGGCTCACACCGCCGCAAGGGTCGGTGCTCGGCCCGGCAATTAAGCTGCTCTGCTACGCGACACGAGGCCGGTGGTCGCTCAACCCGATCCGCACGATACACAATCTGCGCAGCGCCACGTTCTGGGAGGAGGTGAAGCCGTCGCACATGGCACCCGGTCGGCGGCCCAAATGGATGACGTTCGACGACGCCTGGGTCGACGAGGTGCGGCGCGGCTTCAAAGCCTGCACCGTATTCCTTTGGTACCCGCTGTACTGGATCACGTACAACCAGATCAACAACAACCTGACGTCGCAGGCCGACACGATGCGACACGCGGGCGTGCCGCCGGAGATCGTCAGCAACCTAGACCCGCTGACCTTGATCGTGCTGATCCCCGTCTGCGATCTGCTCGTCTACCCGGCCCTGCGGCGCGCCGGCGTCAAGTTGACCCCGATCAAGAAGATCACGCTGGGCTTCTGGACCGGCTCGGCCGCCATGGTCTATGCCTGCGTGTTGCAGCACTACATCTACACGCACAACGAGTGCGGCCGCTACCCGAGCGAGGGCCGCGCCGATGGCTCCGAGTGCGCGCCCGCCAGTGTCAGCATCTGGGCACAGACGGGCATCTACGTCTTGATCGCCATCAGCGAGATCCTCGCCTCCATCACCAGCCTGGAGTACGCCTTCACCAAGGCGCCGCGCAACATGCGCTCCATGGTCCAGGCCTTTGCCCTGTTCATGACCGCCCTTGCCAACGCCATCGGCGAGGCCCTGATCGCCTGGTCCACCGATCCCCTGCTGGTCTGGAACTACGCCGCCACTGCCGTCATCGCCTTCGTCGCCGGCTGTCTGTTCTGGCGCGCCCACCGTCACCTCGATTCCGAAGAGGACGCCCTCAACCAGCTCCCCACCGGCCACGTCCGCGTCCGTCGTGTGGGTGCTGTTGCCGCCCCGGTCCCGGCCTCGGCCCCGGCCCCTTATGCACGCCTGTCCCGCACTCGGAGCATTTCGAACCTCAGTGAGGCCAGTGCCGGCTCGGAAGATGAGATGCTGCCTAGCCGATAAAGCCTGAAATGACATGCTAGGGTTGTGTGTGTAGTAATACTATGTTCGAGCCATGTCCGAGCTATATCCGACTCAGGAACATGTGCATGTTCGAGGCATATCCAAGTCATTCTGAATGCAAGACAGCCGGCGGCTGGCGCGGTCGCCCGGGGTACAGGTGCATCCGAAACAATCCTGTGGACGAATCCATCCGTCTGACAGTACAAGAGGCCAGAGCCCAGACAAGACTATTCGGTTCGGTTATACGACACCTCCTGATATACTAGTAGCTATGTTGTAGCTATATATATACACAGTATACTTGATAGCCTTTGGCGTTTGTTTGAACTGAGCATGGCAGACGCGGACGCGGACGCGGAGACGGGAGAGAAGACTTGACTAGATATACGGTACGACCAAATACTGCCTTGATGCTAATGCGGGCGGAATCTGTGGGTCTGTCTGTCTGTCTGACTAACTAACTATCCGGTCACCGGTCACTTTCCTTTTCCTCTTCCGCGCGCTACCTACCGTGACTCTTGTTGATTTACCAAGGTTCCATGTAAGGTGAGCTCAGTCCTGACTGGGTTGCATTGTTCCTCCGAACCATAGACACATCCACTCTGACGTAGATTCGACCTTGGAAATCCGTCCTCCAACGCCTGGTCACGACGTCCGCGAGCAATACTGAAGTGGCTGCGGGAAAGGCCGGTCCGTTTGGGCTCCTTCACACAGAATCCACGAAATTCACGCAATACGATGCAAAGGGTTAGAACCCGGACCGCTCACGATGTGGTTCCACACTGGTCCAGATAAGCCAGACGACCAGGTAATCAATATGCTTGTTCCTTAGTACTAGCGATGCGCCTCATCAGCTAGATACAATTCTGGCTCAGACTTGCAATGCAGTGATGACGGCTTATGCCCTAGAACTCGCCAAACGCGGAGAGCGCAAACAAGAGGCCGAAGCTGATTTTGAACGCGACGTTGTCGTTGATGGCGCTGCGAAGGTCGACGTTCTTCACGTGCCGCTGCAGACGGTCGACAGGGATAAAATTGTAGCCTTTGCGAGCGGCGTACTGTGTTCCAATCCGATATTGTCAGCTCATGATTAGTTCCAACAGGGGCTCTTCAATGTTGTAGCCAAATAGCACTGACCTGCCAGACCACGATGGCCACTCCAATCAGAAGCGTCAGACTCCTCGAGAATGCCGACAGCAGCACGCCGGCACCCAAGCCCAGGATCGCGCCCAGGCTGATTTGTTTCACGGCGGCCGGGTTGAGTGTCTTTCCATCTTTCGTGAGTGGGGTCTTTGCGTCCCGCGAGTGTGTGTATGATGTGCTACTGAATGGGGAGGCTTGTGACGAAGATTGAGGCGAGACAGGTGATGTGTCTAGGCGGGTGATGGGCCGTGGTTGGAGGAATGGGATGGACAGGGACAGGCCGAACGCCACCAGGACCGGTCGGTTAAGACGGGGAGATCGCGACGGTGCTCGAGGCACGGCGATTGCCTTGGATATGGGAGTGTGGGCAAAGAGAGAGGGCCGAAGGGCTGAGCGGAGGAGCATGGCGTTGATGGTTGAGGACGGAGGAGGCTTCGAGATGGCCTGGCTTGGTCTGGATTGGATTGGATGTTGCACCGTGTCAGTATCAGGGACAATTGGTGTATTTCCACGGCCTAATTGATGGATAACGGTGACTGGTCGAGTAGGAGTAGTAGTCCGTACAGAACATACACAGTATGATTGCAGTTGCGTGAGACTGGCTCTGGCTTCTCATAACTTTCAGCAGCTGAGTGTTGTTGGACTGTGAGCGGGAGAGGACGGTGATGTCATTGCTCACGGCTCAGGCCACCAGGCCACCACTGGCAGGCCACCACCACCTTGGGCGAGGTGTCGGCTAAGGCTGTACAGCAGGGATGGAGTCTTAAATTTCTATAGATTTCCGAAATTTACTAACCGTAAATTTCAACCTAAAATTTTATTTATTTCCGTAATATTTTAAGGGCCTACTCTAAGTTTTTACTAGTAAATTTTAGTATAATTTTAATAGTTTCGTCCTCTTTTAATTAGTTCTCCTAAAACTCTTCGCTCTTATAATATAACCAATATAATACTCTTAACCTCGCCAATCTCTTAACCTACGCTAACCTCTTAACCTCGTTAACCTCGTCAACCTCTTAACCTCTCAACCTCGTCAACCTCGTCAACCTCGTTAACCTCGTTAATACCTCGCTATCACGTACTACGTCCTTACGCGTTATATATTATATAACTAAATAATTAATCGATTAGTAGTAGTTAAGTACTACTATACGATATATCCTAAGTACTACTATAATGCGTATCCTAAGTATTAACGTATAGTATATTCTAAGTAGTATAATATACTATAGCGCTTTCTATAAAATATATATATATAACGTTTTATAGCGTCTATTACTATAGTTCTACTAGTAGTCTAAGAAACTCGTTTTAGTATATTTTATACTAAACTCGTCTTCTCTATTACTATTCTCTCTATAACGAGTACGATAAACTACTCTACGATAATATTATCTTTAATCTATTTCTATATTTTCTCTTACTCTTCGCGTACGCGCTTCTATAGCGATAGTCGAAGACGTATTTTAGTTATCTTTATACGTTATAGGATAGTCTCGTTAATCCTAATATATATTAACTTATTTACTACCGCCTTATCAAGATAATTATATAAGTTATTTAAGAATATTAAGGTATATTTTAGCTCTATATTAGCGCGCTAGTAGCGTACTTTTTATATAAGATTATATAATTTAGCGCTATTTTAGTGTATTTAGCGCTAAATAGCGTTATAAAAAAGACGCTAAATTATATAAGTTAGGATATTAAAAAAACCCTTTAGGAAATTTAGTAGGTATTTATTTCCTAATATAGTAAATTTCCGCCAAGACTCCATCCCTGCTGTACAGAGCACCTAGGTACGGAGTACCTTACATACTCTGTAATACTGTCAAAACGTACGAGTACAACACTGCTCGCACCACCCGAACCCTCCTGAGTCCCCGCCCACTACTACAGTATTCTACGGTCCGTGTGCCATGTCCCATGTTCCACGCTCGACGCTCCACGGCCTCCGAGGATCTCTAGCAAGCAATTTCTGCAGTGTCACTGACCACCGACCACCGACGAAGAGGCACCGCGATTACCCCCGGTGCTGTTGCTCCCGTCCATTCGTTAGCCGCCTCGATCGCTCCGCTGGGGAGCCTCCCCCAAAAAAAACCCAAAAGACCCCCGCGGTCCAGATCCGGCCCTCAGCAGCCCAGTGCGTCGACGGACTCCGCACGCGTCGTCTTCGGGTTAATTCTCACATCCTGAGAACCCCTGGCATCGACACTGCACGGGATCGCGATTGGTGGGTTTGGGGGCTTAAGGCTACTCTGTAAGGCCATGGGGGCTGGATTGCGGACACTGGACAGGAGGATACGATGCTTGGAATATTGGGTCTGGGGAAGAGGGGGTTTTTCCGACGCCACGTTTGTCCAATGTTCGTATGACATACAGAGTACGGAGTATACGGTGCGCGGGATACATGAAAGGACAATAAGATAATACTCTTCCATCCTCGCTGTATCTTGGTCCTTCTTGCTGCATTCGTCTTCACAGCTCTCGGCTTCTTCTGACTATCACTATCGCGTCTCGTTGTTGATATACCCTTCGGAAGACCAGCACAGCCATGTCGCATTCACCAGCCACCAACGGTGTGCCCAAGGTCACCTCTCCAGTGATCGAGACGCCTCTTCTGATTGTCGGCGCGGGTCCCGCTGGCGCCTCGTTGGCATGTTTTCTCTCCCACCCACCATACTCGATGACGGGTATCATGATTGCCGCAGCCCCGACAACAGCCCAAACTCCTCGAGCGCATATCACCAATCCTGCCGCGCTCGAATGCCTGAGGGACATCGATCTGGAGCAGACGTGTCTCACCGAAGCCGTTGATGGCGACTGTATGATCCACACCCGCTGGTGTCACGACATGACCGGTGAAGAGTATGCCCGGATCTACTCGTGGGGCAATGACCCCAAGCGGCGAGGCGAGTATGACGGCGCCAGTCCCTGTCACCATGTGGATCTGCCTCAGACAGTGTTCGAGCCCATTTTAGTCCAGAGAGCTTCCGCCCAAGGGTGGGATGTGCGGTTCCGAACCAGCATTATCGATTTCAAGAAAGAAGAGGACGGGAAGATCCTCAGTCGGGTTCGGGACGGGCTGACTCAGACCGAGTACTTGATCCGGTCAACCTACCTATTCGGCTGCGATGGCGCCAGAAGTCAAGTCCTGAGAGAGTTGAAGATCCCCTTGCACAAGAAGCCGGGCCAGGGTTTGGCGATAAATGTGCTGGTGAAGGTTGATCTAAGTGACTTCGTTGAAGCCCGGAAGGGTAATCTGCACTGGGTCTTCCAGCCTGAGAAAGAATATCCCGACTTTGCCTGGAGTGGTCTGATCCGAATGGTCAAGCCGTGGAATGAGTGAGTGACCCCGCAGAGAGATCCCAGACTGATCTTACACTTGGACGTCGCTAACCCGGGACAGGTGGATGTTTATTCTCTTCCCGAAGCCCGGCACAGAATGGAAGGAGCCAACTCACGAGCAATACCTCCAGAGGTGCAAGGAGATTGTCGGTCGCGACGACATTCCACTTGAGATCCTGGATATTTCCAAATGGAACATCAACGAGATTGTGGCCGAGTATTATTCCGACGGAAACATTTTCTGTCTAGGCGACGCAGTACACCGACATCCCCCATTCAATGGCCTGGGCTCGAACTCTTGCGTCCAGGATGCTTTCAACTTGGCGTGGAAAATAAAGTACGTCTCTCAGGGACTTGCCTCGCCTGCTGTGCTCGAGAGCTTCAGCCAGGAACGCCAGCCCGTAGGCTACGGTTTGGTTACTCGTGCAAACCAAGGTATTCGTGATCACGCCCCGGTGTGGAAAGAGATGGGTCTGCTGGAGGAGACGGTGGAAAAGAGGATGAAGATTTTCAACAGCCTCAAGTCCGTCTCACCCGAGGCTCGAGAGAGGAGAAAGAGACTCAATGCCGCCGTTGAGGCGACCAGCCAGGAGTTCCACGGCATCGGCGTCGAAATGAACCACAGGTATGAATCGGCTGCTGTTTACGTCGACGACGAGGTCAAGGCCGGCCGGCCGAAACCGGAGTGGCCCGAGGACGCCGTCTTGCACCACAAAATCAGCACATACCCGGGGCACCGGCTGCCACATGTCTGGCTGAACAAAACCATGCCCATCAAGGATCATGTCTCGACCATCGATCTCGCCGGCCACGGACGCTTCTGCCTCATCACCGGTATCGGCGGTGAGAAATGGATCGAAGCCGCACAAAAGGTCGGGCACGAGCTCGGGGTTTCAATCAAAGGCGAAAGCATTGGTTGGGGTCAAGAATGGGTGGATGTGTACCGGGATTGGTGAGTTTGACCTACATCTACACCGGAGTCGAGAAGAAGCGAGACCCGTGACTAACCAGCATCTATATAGGGAGCGAAGAAGAGAAGTCGAGGAAGACGGCTGCGTCCTTGTCCGGCCTGACAGATTCATTGCGTGGCGCTCGATGCAGCTCAGGGACGACTGTGAAGACAAGCTGAGGGCTGTAATGAAGAGTATTCTAGGACGAGCATGATGGGCTGGTTCTGTTTGGTGTTTGGTGTTTGGTGTTTGAATTTGGGAAAGCGCTGGTGTGGTGTCGTGTTGAATGGCCTTTTAGTGCCTACATACCTTATGTACGGATACTACGTCTCTAATTAATTCAAGTCCAGATCCATGCTTGCCAGTTGCCAAGACCTCTTCGGAGTCAAAGTCAAGTTGCATGGGCCCCAGGCAGGATGATCATGCAATAGTTGGGTACCATGTACGGAGTACTCGTAGTAGTTGGAGACAGTAGTATCCTGGATTCAACCCATGTTAAGTCGACTATGCGATTAGTATGAACGAGCCAACGGGGTATATTTAAAATATGCGTACCCCTAGGTGTCTCAACGCACGATAATGCTTCTGTACCAGCAACGCAGACCCTCCTAAATAGGGCCAAGAAACTATTTAGATTCATCAATCTCAGGTATTCTGAAGGTAAATCAAAAAGCAAAAGTTAAAATGGCCAAAAAGAAAATGTAGAGGCATGCATCAGCCGCGAATCGAACGCGGGGCCCATGCAACTAGGCTTTGACTCCGAAGAGGTCTTGGCAAGCATGGATTTTACCACTAAACCACTGATGCTGTCTGGGAATCCTGTGTGGGAATTGTTAGGGAGAATTTGCCAAATCTAAATGATAACGCTAGATTATTCTAGATACACCGTTGTAATCCACTCTCTACCTTGTATACCCATATTACTTACGTGGCACCAAGGTAGACCGCTCTGCATGTGATGTGCGTTGCCATGTGCGTATGCTACAGGTTCTTCATGGCCTATATTGAGAGACCAAGAGCTGGTGGTAGAGGTGAAGCGTATACTGGGACCTTAGCCTTCTTCCATTCCCTTCCCCGGGGCCTTTCAGAGACTCATTCAATGTGCTCCATTAACACAAACCCAAACTATGGAGTACATGGTAGGAGCTTGAAACCGAGAAAATGCTACCTTACCTATAATTAGGTCTTGTTTTCCACCTCCTCCAGCCAGAGTAACAGCTGCCACGCTTGGCCCAGATAGCAAACTCTTCAACATGTATTGCACATTAACCATAGTTGAATCACTTCAGTGCTATTGTTACTGTTATCATTTCACGGTGATGACTACTGTGAGATTGGTGACTCAGAGGGAAGAGCATAAATATCGCTCTGCCTCTCCAACCTAGTTTTCAAAGATCTATCACACTTAGATATATATCACACATGTACCTCAGTTCCTGGTTTCAACTACCATCGTCTTCCTCAGAGCGTCACATTACGATGCCTCCCACCCACCAGCAGCTAGCCCAAGTGGCTTACGATATGCTGGGGCAAATCAGTCCGACTGATCCTCACTTCGTGGGCGATTCTCAAGCGCTTCCCACCCTGAAACCGACGGACAATCTGAAAATTCCAATCAAATTATGGAGCAGTACCTTCGAGCCTATTGCAACTACCTTCAGGATGACTGTCATTCGATCAATGGGAAGGAAGGCTTTTTTCGCCATTCTGATTCTCGACCCGATATGCCAACAGCCTCCTTGGCCTGGGCCACGAACACAGAGAGAGACGAGGATCTGGGTTGGAAGATCAGGGTAAAACTGCAACAAGAAGTTTGCTCCGTACTGGGGACTGCTATTATCCCATCTTACAAAGTATCGTGACGCAAAGGGTCGCCTCGGGCGTGCGCAGCAACTATCCAAGATACAAGCTGCGATTTTAGCAGGTTCCACCAAAGGAGAGACAAAGTTTGAGCTTGCACTGAACAAGGACTACTCAGACTGGGAGAGGCTTGATCACGAGGCCTTCTTCTTCTATCAGGTGTACCGGCTGAACACCATGAAGAAGAAGGCGCCTTTTTCGGCGCACAACTCTTCGAAAACGACATATACAGTCGAATTTGGCTGGTATACCGACGGCTTCTCCATAACGAGGCCCCATCCAGACAAGGCCGCCACCAGGGCCCAGCAAGCCAATATGCCTCAGGTATCAGCTACGTCTCTCCAAATTGATGCACCAGCTAGTGCAGCAGACGAACCTGACAGAGACAGCCACTCCATACAACAAATGTGGGAACAGTTCGGAAACCAATTCATTGTACGCCAATTGGGTCGTCTATACGAGTTGAGCCCAATCGAGACACTGGCAATGTGGACTAAGCTGGCTGCGCAAGTCGATTCAGCAGCGGCCGACATAGAACGAGGAGAAGGACATGTTGAGCAACTACAACAACTGAAAACTCCATTACAAGTCGGCCTGATGGCTGCGGACAAGCTCCAGAACTTGTGGTTTCGCATTCACGAAATGATGCGAACTTTGTACGTGATCCGGAGGGACGGATCAACCGAATTGAGCGATTGAGCTTCCCCTTACACAATCCGCTACAGTCTGCCCGCCAGCGACGTTACAGCAGTTCATCAATAAAGTGAAAAGGGGGACTGATGTTTCTATAATCCTACTAAGCGAAGCAAAGTACGTAGTATACGGAGGTGCGTTGCTCTGTCGAGTAGGGAGTACGTTTCTCGCAGACTACGACTCGTAGGACTATTATTAGTCCTAATATACAGTATATAGGTGCTTAGTAGGAAGGCTTGGGGAGGGTTTACGCTCTAATACATTATACTTTAGTACATGCTGTCTACGAGTCTCTATGTTATTTCCTACGAGGATCTCTATCAAGTCAGCCACCATCATCAATGTAATGTCTCTCAACGCAGGTACGCCGTTGAATTCTCCCAAGCTAAAAGACGTGGTCACTGCGAGTCTGTAGCATTAGGTACGCAGCAAGCAGGTAGAGCAGACATAGTTTCAGTCATGGTGCTACATCAACATCGCAGTCATCAACATTCTACGTACATCATCCCAATCTCACTTTCCTCCATAGCCTCAAACACTCTAGCATATCAGCACCAGCTTTGCTCCTCCCAACGGGCGAGTTGGTGGACTCATAAACCACTGCGGCGAGCGCCGCGGCAAAGCAGAAAGCAGATTTGTTCTCACATAGCAGTTTGACCTGCACCTTTTTCATCCCACCCGCCGTGGTCCAGGCCATCCACTCTTCTAGTATCTTGGTGATCTTGCGCGCTTCGCCTTCGTCGCTTTGACTCTGGTCGACCACCATCAGGTACAAGACCGCCTCGGCCAGCTGGTCAAGAGTCCACTCGCGACCGATCTGGCCTTGTTCAATCAGCCATGCCAAACATGCTTCCGCCACGGCCTTGGTGCTCATCCTCGGACTAGCAATCGCATCCTGCATCCTGCGCTCGTCCCGCTCTGATCTCGCAGCGAACTCTGCCATCATATCGTCATGTGCGGCGTGTCGTTCTGCAGTCTCACGGTTCATCTTGTGCAGTCTAGCTTGTTCCGGCGGCATAGTAGCTTCCAGCCTCTCAGCTGCCTGGCGAGCCTGGAATCGCTGGAGGTGTCGTTGCGCCATGTTCGTCGTCTCGAATCGAGCAGCATCTGCGTTTTCAGACGACCAATGTGGCGCGTCAGTCTCATCCATCAGGCCCATGATCACCATGACGCCGCATGGGACCGAATCCTTGCGCACAAATGATTGTACGTCCGAGGGGATGTCGAAAGCCCAGAGGCCGCCACTGGAAGTTTTCCGCGAAAGGACCGCCGATGCTGCACACGTGAACCAGAGTGCGGCCGTGGATTGCTGGATCGTGCGAAACGGGTCGCAAACGAAGCCAGTCTCGAGGTTTTTCTGCTCCCAAAAGACTCTCTGCACCCGGTTATCTTCTGCGCGGAAGCGGAAGCTCGAACTATCTACGCTGTACTTGTCCGCGGCTTTCAACTGGTCGATTCTTGCCGGCAAGTCTTGTTTCTCTTTGGGCACCTTTTCGCTCGTTTCCAACAATGGTGGCTGATTAAGTCGCCCCCAGCCGGGCGGAAGACTTGCAGCCCCTCTATGATCCGCAACGGAGCTAATATCTGCAGACCATTTGACCGACAGACTGAGAATCCCGTCGCTTTCGTCCGGCATACTTGTTCTTAGAACCCAGTCGATGTGTTTCCGAGGCTCTCCAACGTCGTCGTCCGGTTTTCTCAGCAGAATTGTTCCAGACGGTGTCCACAGACCGCCTGATTTCAGCTTCTCCCATCCCATGGAGTCTGGCACTGCCCCCCAATCGAGCAGAAGATGCACAAGGTCCGAAAAATCAATTTCAGCAGGTGGTTCTCGCAGTTCGTCCTCATATTGTATTCTGTACAGCTTGCGGCCAACGACCAATCTTTTCCAGTGGAAAGCTCTCCAACTGCCGCCGCGAAGAAATCCTCGCACCCGACCTTCCTCAATCATGCTCAATGTGCTCTCCGTCCGGTCAAGCAGTCTGTGGTGCTCCTCTTCCCTCATTTGACCTTCATTCGTGGTCTTCCAGTAGTTCTGGTCGTTCCTTTCCAGCGGTGCTATAGTATACTTTGGGAGTTCCACTTCGATCAGATTGGTCATGGGAGAAGTTCGAATGGTGAAGCCATGCTGAGGATTGGCGTTGTTGACTGGTCGATGACCATGATGGATGAGTGAGTCGCGGATTCGGCGTTTGGTCAAAATGGCAAACATGAACGTGTAAAGAATTGGCAGAACCCCCAGTACCGCGAGGGGCACTCCGATGTATGTGATGATATCTGTCGCGGAGGCCATTGTGAGAGCTGCGCGGCGAATTACGGGAGCAGCGAGGTTGTTTTTGTGGGGGTCTCTGGGTTGGCATCTCACTGGAGGATGCGGTGGTCTTCTCTATCGTCGCTCTGAGCGTAGCATTCTCGCGTGTCTCGGCCACAGCAGACACAGCTGGGGAAGCCATACTTGCTCAGGGCTCTGCCACAATGCTCCAGAGGGCGCAGTTTGGTCAGACTGAGGTGGGCTCGCCCAAATAGTCCAGAAAAGGGGTCAGGATGTGAGCTAGTCCGTTTTCAGAAATATATCCCGCCGCAATATCATGCACAGTATGGGTTCCTTAGGCCGTTCAGACTCCTGAGGTTAAACTCCTAGTAGTTTATAGCAGCAGGAGGCAACCTATTTATCACGGAATACCTGTCTCCACGCTTCCTCAAGGACCAAGCACTCACTCATTCTGTTTGTTGTCCTGTCACTTGCCCCTAATACCTAATCGACATCTACAAGCCTTCATGATGGCTTACTTCCCGTCGCAGTCGAGTCTATCCTGGCCAGACAGTCGCGCATTCTGCTGACCAGGATACCAGTGGCTACACTAGCAGTGCCGCCAAAATTCCTCTGATATGAATATATTGTCCATGAAAGGGAGTGCATATCCTTCTGGCCACGTTGGGAGCCCTTGCTCTGAGTGCAGTTTGTGGGGCTATTCAAAGAGAAAATGTACCTTTATTAATCTGTTTGCTTCGCTCTACTTTTCAGCTTTACTGCCACGATAGAAGTTGGGCAACCATGGATTCCATTGCGTCAAATTCTACAACATTCCTTAGAGGAGTGCGGTACGATCCTCTTCATCAAGCATCCACCACTGCGCTGTCATCTACTTTCTCAAGCTACAGTTCTCCTGATGAGAGAACATGAACCGATCCCTTGAGCTACAGATTGTTCCAGACGGAGTACCCCCTATCATGCCACAACCAGAAAGCTATAGGCTAGTTATCAGTAAACGTGAGCGTACCAATTCGACAGTACGCCTACGCGTACGGCTGAGAGCGCCTTGACAGCACTCAGATTGTTACGGCTTCTGGCATGGAGAACAATATCTCTCTCCATCTCGTGCGGATGTTTCAGACGCTCGCCATAAAAGCTCTGAGAGCGGTTGAAGTCATATCGTCACCTCTGAAACTGCTCGCTGGGGGCCGTTCCTTGTATCATAGGCCACAATCTCTGGCCTTGATCTGTTTTCGGGTCCAATATCATGCTAATCCAGTGGAGATTCATCGGCCAAGTTCTCGTCAGAACATCCTACTACCTAGGGTCCTATGTTGGTATGGGAACACAGATATAGATAGAACTGCACAGGCAGTGGGATAAAGGTCGAGTCTATCAAAATGTTGTTGCTTGGCGAACATGTTTACTATCCTGGTGCCTGAACAGGGAAGTGAATAATCAGATTGGCTCGACCACTGACCTGACGTGAATAGAAGATCTCACTAGATGAAGCAAAATGGGCGAGAGTGAAGTCGACTGCCTCGTGTGTCACGGTAAGCAGTGTGAGCAAGTTCAGGTGCAGTGTGCTTGGCCCCCTACTCCTGCTGGGCTTCCTGTGGAGCCAGGTCCGGAACAGTGAAGTCGACTGTATCTTCAGCCAAGATGTTCGCCAGACAACAAAGATGTGAATACTCGTGATTAAGCAGCGACTGGTGACTATCCCAACTGTTGATATTTGAATACCTGCACCACGCGATCTTTCTCTTTCCTCTACTTTTCTCCATCATCTTCAGCGCTCAAACAAGTTCGACTTCTTCAATCAGCACAATACTTCCTTACACTCGAGCTCCTCTAATTCCTCTTTCATCAACACCAACCCTCAAGTATCCAGCAAGGTCATTCTACTCTGACATCAACATCAATTTCCAGAACAAACTCTCAACATCCTTGGAACATCAAGATGGGTTTCAAAGGGTTCAGAAGCAAGATTGGCAAGGTCCAGGATGCAGTAAGTGGTGTCCCAGCTCCTCATCACGGCCTCATCATCTGATCAATGTTCAGCTTAAGGTCTTAGTCAACGCCAGCTATAAAAGCCCTGCCACCAATACCCAGACCAGCAACTCTTCCTCCTCTTCTAACGACGAACACCCAATCCCTCCACAGCTCCGTGTCAAGCAAGCACTGGGGTCGACTACAGGCCAGGTCGATGTAAATGCTTTTGCTCGAGGCACGTTGGCTACACCCTCTCCAGTGAAGAAATCACTACTTAGGCGGAGGTTGAGCAAAGCGGTTCCCTTCCTTAAACAGGGCAACAAAGGGCACTTGTCGGGCAAGCAGGCTCTCGAACAAATCCATGCGAGGACGTCTCCCTTCATCACTTCTCCCAAAATATCAAAGATTCCGTCCAATCTCCGAGTACTCCGACAACAGCCGGTGGAGATAGCCGGGGAAGTTTGTAAACTAGGCAAGTTTCTATTCAAGATCGATACTGAAATCCTACTAACCACCATGTAGTCAGCCAAACTGAGTCTGCATCGGGGTCGGCGTCAACCGAAAGTTTCGCTGTAGAAGCTCCTGGTGATCTGGAGACGGAGAACATCCCAGAATCAAACAGAGCTTCACCCTTTTCTATCGAACAGCAAGAGCATGAGGACTTGCTCTCCACGGTTGAAGAACCAATCGTATGGGTCTCGAACGCTGCATATGCCGTGCTAGGTGCCGGTGCAGCGTCAGACATATTCTCAGGCCAGAACAAGCGACACCAGGGAAACCGTGCCCCCACCCTAGGGTTCGACGTTAGCGCTGAGCACACTGAAAATCGCATCAGCATCAACAGCAGCCAGTCATCTGAAAGAACCTCAAGCTCTGGAGAGGTTGAACGATGTTCAACCCCATTAACTCCCACTGAAGTGGGCAATTCTTGCGCGAAATCCCAAGACCAGGTTCCGCTTGACTCTGTCTTCGAAGAACAGAACACCCATCTACAATGTTCGCAAACCGGCTCAGGATCTCCTTGCCCACCAACGTCTCTGCAAACAGCGGTCGGTAGATCCATGTTCGATAGCACCCCGGTTGCAGATTCTTATAATCATCAGCTTCATTTCCATGTGCATGCCAGCATCGCTCCAGCCGATCAGGCCACTCCACTTGATAGCCAGGCAGAGGAGCTGCAACGGCTGCAGGACAGCCTAGACTATCGAGATAACCTCAACCAGGGTCTTCGGCTGCAGCTGCTTGATCGAGAAAATGAAGTTGCAAAACTTCAAAAGCAGCTTCAAACCCTCCAAAAGGAGCGTGATATGTTTGAGGCGGAACAGGATGCCTCCTCTGAGCAGTTGCAGACAACGAGGCAACAACTTGCTACGAAAGACAGAGAGCTCATCAAGGCAAATACGAGTGCAGTAGCTGCCCTCCACGAATTGCAAGTGGCTCGGAACAGTATTGGTGTGGGGACCGAAGAGCTGATTGCTGAACGAGACAGAGCCCGACAGGAAGCTCAGGCTCAATTCCATCGCACGCAACACTTTTACACAATGGCTAATACTGCTACGGCTGAAAGAGACAACATGGCCCAGCAAGTGGCATACCTAGAAGCAATGGCCAACATGAGCTCCCAGCAACATAACGCCGAGGTCCAGGAGCTGCGTGAGAGGCTCGAACAAACACGAGACGCAATCGAGGGACTAGAACAACAAATGAGCCATGTTGTTGGGCTGAAGAACAAAGCAGAGAACCGTGTTCAGGAACTGGAAGTGCGGGTCCAATCACTCTTGCAGGATGTGACGGCAAAATGGGTCGAGAATCCGGTGGAGGAAGCGGAAGAAATCAATAGTAACCAGCTGAAGCCGAATGAACTTCGGGACCTTCGACAGGCTTTCGAAATATCGCAGGCACGACTTGCTGCTGCCGCGGAGGTCAATCAAGAATTGCACGAAGCAGCAGAGCACTCCGAGAAGGAGCACGCGGAGCTCCGCGAAAGCAATGACTTGCTGAAAGACAAGGCAGCAAGACTCTCATCGATTTTCGAAATCTGGATGACGAAACTCGACAACTGGATGCAAACGATCCCTGGAATTGTGAAGATGCAAGACAGAGTTGAGGAAGTCCCTGGCCTGAAAGTGCTCCTTGAAGAGTCTGTTTTCCACGAGCAAAGTGTGGGCAGAGAATTAAAGGCCAAGGCTGATCTTGTATCCGAACTTGAGGCCACAGCTCTGAAGCTCAAGCGGGAGCATAACAACGAAATCGAGGCCCTCAACCAGCGAGCAAATGAACTTCAAGAAGAGAACATTCGTCAAGATGCGCAAAACTTCCAGCTGACTGACCAGCTGCACAGCTCCCAGCAAGAGCTAGAGAGGTTGAAACATGAACTCAGTGACCGGGAACATGAAGCGCAGCAGTGGAAAGCACAATGTCTGGAACAAGCTTTTGGGGACACTGCGCAGCTTATCAACAAGCAACACGAGAGGCAGCTGAAGCAATACTCCGACGTGCACGACGCGCTCATGCACCGTTGTGAACAATTCCACGAGGTCAAATATCGTGCGGAATCCGAATTGAGAACGTTTCGATGGCTGCTCGCGGAGGAGCTGGCCGGGGTTGCGGAGCTGGGTACAGAACGTGATTGGTACCGGGCGCAGGTTGAAGCCTTGCGAGAACGTTTCCAGCATGAGTTGCTGGTCGAACCCCTCGAAATCCCATACCAGCCAGCTTATTCGCAGCTATCCCCGGAGGACAGAGAAGCCATAATCGCGGGCCAGGACTACGTGATTGACCAGCTCACAGGAGTACTGCCAGTTAGGTCAGGTGTCAAGCCTCGAAATATTGAGGTTGTTGATCTATGGGCAAGATTTGTGGCATGGGTTTTGCCCAAAGAGGAGGGCAACACAGAAGGCGAAGGGAAGCAGAAAGCTGATCCTGTAGCTGAAGTGACGCCGATGGCTCCATTGCCTCTTCCAAAACGACACCAGGCGTCACATGGCGCTGTCCAAAGTGAGGGCCTCGAGGGTCAAGACGGCTCAAGTTGGATCACGGAGGACGGATCTGAGGCAGGGCCATCCGATGGAGAGCCTGCAGATTGTATGGTGTCGATCAGGGGTAGTTCGATCCTCTTTTGAAGGCCGATATATGCTCAGGTATTGCCAAATGGGGTTTCCTGACAGGTGTGTATACTGGACGGATGGGATTTTGTATGTCGACTGTATGATTGACGACGGTGCTTGAGTGGCTACCTACTAGGTCCCTGTGGTTTGGGAGTAAACTGATGTTCCTGGGGTCAAAGGCGGACGGATGCTTCGGTGACATGATAGTGTAGGCGATATAATAGAAATACAACACGTGGGCGTGAAAGTGTACCATGGATCAAAGCTGTAATTGTAGGTGCATAGTGCATATAGCATTTGTCCTCGGAAAAGGAGGCCTCAGCCTGGCCAGGCATGTGTCGCCCTACCTGCCCTATTTGGGGCTCCCATAAAACGGCATGGTACCTTGTCCCAAATGGGCTGAGCTGGCCGTCATGGTTCTTGGCAAACTGCGCAGTTGTCACAGTGTCCTCACGGTTGGTGAAATGCTCCCACCGTGCTCCAAGCCCATAGCTTTAAGGGGTCACTTCTGTTCTATCGCTCCCTCATTTCTTATTTCTGATTCTCAAGCAGGCCCTTCTCCTCCTCTCCTTCCCTTTCGCCCTCCGATTCGCCCTCCCTGCGATTATCAGGGTATCTTGTAACCTTTTCGATCCTGCGCAAGCCTCGCAGCAACCATGAGCGGTCGTGCGTCAACACCCCTCCGCGGTTTTGGCCCGTCTTCCCAAATGCTAACAGTGACGAAGTCCGTTTCCTCGACCTCATCAAACCCTTCACGCCCCTCCTCCCAGAGGTGGCAGCACCGGAGTCCAAGGTGCCCTTCAACCAGAAGTTGATGTGGACAGGAGTAAGAGAACACAGCGCACAACGCTGCCAGAGGACAACACGAGACTGACAGTCGGAATAGTGCACGCTGCTCATCTTCTTAGTCATGAGCCAGATGCCTCTCTATGGCATCGTCTCATCTGACACTTCGGATCCCATCTACTGGCTGCGTATGATGCTGGCCAGTAACAGGGGAACGCTGATGGAGTTGGGGACGACACCTATTATCTCTTCGGGAATGGTCTTCCAGGTACAGCAACATGACAACTATGTTGATGTATCCGAAGCTGACGCGATTGTTTTAGCTTCTTGCCGGCACTCACCTCATCGATGTCGATCTGAATCTGAAGGCCGATCGCGAGCTCTATCAAACCGCGCAAAAGCTATTTGCCATTATCCTTTCTTTTGGCCAAGCCTGTGTCTTCGTCCTCACCGGTCTCTATGGCCAACCAAGCGATCTCGGGGCCGGCATCTGTCTCCTCTTAATCGTCCAGCTGGTCATTGCAGGTTTGGTCGTCATTCTCCTCGATGAGTTGCTACAAAAGGGTTATGGTCTTGGATCCGGTATCTCACTGTTCATCGCAACAAACATTTGCGAGTCCATTGTGTGGAAGGCGTTCTCCCCAACCACCATCGATACCGGTCGTGGCAAGGAGTTCGAAGGCGCAGTCATTGCTCTTTTCCATCTGCTCGTTACTTGGCCAGACAAAACTCGCGCTCTGCGTGAAGCCTTCTACCGACAACACCTTCCCAACATCATGAACCTTCTTGCAACTTTGGCCGTTTTCGCTGCTGTCATCTACCTTCAGGGGTTCCGCGTCGAGATCCCCGTCAAATCGTCGCGCCAGCGTGGCATGCGCGGATCGTATCCGGTGCGCCTCTTCTACACCTCCAACATGCCAATCATGCTGCAATCGGCTCTAGCGTCCAACATCTTCATGATCAGTCAGATGCTTTACACTCGATTCTCGGACAACCTCTTGGTCAAATTGATCGGCACTTGGGACTCAAGAGAAGGATCTTCCCAACTCTTTGCTTCCGGTGGCATCGCTTACTACATGTCTCCTCCACTCAGTTTCCGCGATGCCCTCGTTGATCCCATCCACACGGTCATCTACATCACATTCATCATTGTGACGTGCGCGGTTTTCTCCAAGACTTGGATCGAGGTGTCCGGTTCTGCCCCACGTGATGTTGCAAAAACACTCAAGGAACAGGGTCTTGTCATGGCTGGCCATCGTGAACAGAGCATGTATAAGGAGTTGAAGCGCGTCATCCCTACTGCCGCGGCGTTCGGTGGTGCTTGCATTGGTGCTCTCTCCGTGGCCAGCGACATGCTTGGAGCCTTGGGAAGCGGAACTGGTATCTTGTTGGCTGTCACCATCATCTACGGCTACTTTGAGATTGCGGCCAAAGAGGGCGATTTCGGCGGCAATCTCAAAGGTCTAATTGCTTAGATCTAATGTGTTGGAACATATGGTCGCAGTTCGGCATATAGAACAGGGGTACTCTATCAAAGGAAAGAGGGTGGATCAGGAATCAAAAAGTGTGCCTTTTCAGCATAGCATGGGATTGTCACCCTTTGGCGAGGGACCTGAATGTACAGCTGCTATCTCGAAAAACTCTGTACTTTTTGATTTTGCAGACAAGACTCAGATAGCAAAGATTTAAGACGTCATGCCTGCAGGTCATTCCATCACTCCCTCAACGAGACACAGCCTTGTCTTGACGTGTATAGATACAGGGATGTTGTTGTGTCTCCCAAGGACTATCTACATCTCGTCACCGGTCAGTGTCAGTGGGTCATGCCATACAATGTCTCGTCATCCCATACAACATCTCGTCTTCATGGAATATTAGTCCATCATGTACCCTTGTCTCCGTCTATACAACTCGATCACGTCCTATAGTCTCCATTGATAGTGACGTATTCATGGCTGAAGTCGCAGAACCAATAGTTAGCCTCCTCATTGCCAGTGCCGAGGTCAACCTCGATATGAAGATCTTCATCTTCCAGCAAGCGTGAGGCCCGCTCTTCGTCGACGGCCTCAGGCTCGCCATCGACCAGCAACTTGAGAACACCCTCGTGCTTAGACTTTGAGCTCTGCGCCGGAATGAAGCTGACGTTTGTCTTGGACGGGATGACGGCATCCGGGGAGATGTCAGGTGTATAGCCGATTGCGCAGAGGATGCGGCCCCAGTTGGCATCCTTGCCGTACAACGCGGTCTTGACGAGCGGGGAGCGAGCTATAGTTGAGGCAATGGCCCTGGCGTCGTGCTGGGTTGGCGCGTGGCGGACAGTGACCTGAACAAACTTTGTCGCCCCCTCACCGTCGCGGACGACTAGCTGCGCAAGACGCTGCGAGAATTCTGTCAATATCGCGGACATGGCTTGGTAGTCTGCGCTTGAAGATTCTTCCTCAGAAATGCGAGGAATGTTGGGATCCGTGGCAGCCGCGCCGTTCGCTAGGATGGCGACCGTGTCGTTTGTCGACGTGTCGCCGTCGATCGAAATGCAATTGAACGACTGGTTCACTGCATTCGTAAGTAATGATTTCAGTGCACCTGCACCGATGGGTGCGTCGGTGCACAGAATGCCCAGCAGCGTTGCCATATTCGGGTGGATCATGCCTGCGCCTTTCGTCATTCCCGCGAGTCGGTACTCGATTCCTTGATGGTGCGTGGACGGGAGCTTGAATGTGGTAGAGAGAAGCTTGGGAAACGTGTCCGTAGTGCAGATGGCTTTTGCAGTCGTCAGCCACGCGTTGTGTGAGTCGTCGAGGTTGGTGTAGGCCGCAGGAACTTTGGAGAGGATTTTCTGGATCGGTAGGCGTTGTCCGATCACTCCTGTAGACATGACCAGGCTGTTAGGGCCGAGATTGTCATCGGGTTCAGAGGACTGCTGCCGGAACTGGGCGGTGGCCGTCTCGGCCATAGCATTTGCGTCTTCCAGCCCACCCACGCCCGTCACAGCATTGGCGCACCCAGAGTTCACGATGATACTCCGGAGTCCAACCCCGCCTCGCTTCTCAAGGACAGCCCGACTCACTTGGACAGGAGCTGCCTGGAATTTGTTCGTGGTGAATACGGCGGCGCCGAAGGCTGGGCGATCAGAGACAATGAATGCTAGATCAGGTTGGGATTTATTGGCTGGTTTCACTCCCACATGCGTTCCGCTGACTTTGAACCCCTTAGGGTAAGTGCCTGACGTGGGAACATATTTTGTTTTGGAAGCTGGGATAGACGAGTCGACTGGAGCTGAGTAGTGACGGATGCAACTACGGATGAAGGACCGGGCGGGAGCAATGGACGAGTTGGCCATGGTCACCGTCGCCTGATTTCCAACAAACTGAGTATTATTCCCAATATTGTACCCTTGTACACCACGTCGATGCGTAGGACGGTTTCTTTGGCACGGCTATTCTTTTTCAGTGATCCGAATCGATATCAAACTGTTGGCCCTGTGCCTCAGCAGTAGCAAGTCTGTGTGACGGTTGTGAAGAGCTCAGTTGCCCAGCGCGATCGCTCGTTCGATTGGAAGAAGCTAATACGGAGGAGATATCAGGAGCGGCGATATATTGCGCGGGGTGGAACACTGGAAGCGGCTCTCTTATACTGGGACATCCATAATGAATGCTTCAAGTGCCTGAGCAAATATTCTCATGAGTGAGTCACTTCAAGTACTTCCAACGTCGGTGTGATAAAAGAAGAAAGCTTTGCGGTGAAGCCCGCAGCCAATCGGCGGGTCCGATTTGCGGAGAGGAAACAGAACACGAAACTTGTCATCAGATCGCGTCGTCGGGCAGTTGGGAAACCATCATCACAGGTGCCACTGTTGTTGTTATGCTTGTTGCTACTGGCACGAAATCATTGCTACCCGCTGCATACTCATAGCTGCTCAATGGGCTGACGATATCCCCCCCGTGCAGCTTGACAATGGCCAAGAGGAAGGCGCCAGAGCCATCCCTTGAAGTCAGCGAGACCCCTTCGAAGCGCCGGCGGAGAACAAGCACCAAATCAACCACTGCAGGAGGAGTACACAATGATAATGACGAGTACGACGCCATAGGGTCGACGAAAGATGATACGCCGAAGAAGCCACAGACTCCATCCAAGGTCAAGAGAAATCGCGCTGCAGATGCGCTTCAAGAGGAAGAGGAGCAGGCAGATGGAAGCAGTCCCACGCCCAGAGCGAATGGTCGGACACTGTTTTCGACTCCAAGGAGAACCAAACCCACAGTCGCTACAAACACGCCGTCCCAGTCGACACCTTCCAGGTCCAAGGCAGATCGATCAGCAAAGAGGAAAAGTGCACGAGCCTTGGCCGAAACGCAGGTGGAGGACGACTGGGATGGGGAGTTTGCTCTGGCAAGGGAAATTCTCGGCGCTGACGATGAGGAGGGACAAGATGAGGTGGATGTGTATGCTGATGCCGACGGGGCCATAAATGGAGAAGAAGACACTATCGAGCAGACCGTTAACAAGGCAGATGAAGCTGCCACCACCACACCGATCAAGACACCTGGAAAGCGCGGACGGCCCAAAGGCGCAAAGAACAAAAGATCTCCCACACCAGAAGGCGACATTGCTCCTGAGGAGCGGTATTTCTTCCAGAACCGCGCTGGTCCACCACAGATCTCCAACAATAGATTCTCCTTGGTCAAGCTGCTCAATCACGACGAATATTTCGAGCAGATCCAGCGACACACAGACAGACATGAGCGGGACAGGGCGCAGTTGATGAAACTCCACGCTCGTTCCTTCGCGCAATGGTCGTTCGAGCTTGACCAAGGCTTCGGCTTGTGTCTGTACGGTTATGGGAGTAAGAGAGGACTTACGAACAAATTCGCGGAGTGGCTGTACAAGCAGCCGCAGCGAGGAGTAAATCATGATGACACTGCGGTATCGTCTTCTCCTTGTTCTCCACGCATCATTGTGGTCAATGGATACACGCCAAAATTGAATGTGCGAGGGATCCTGAACACGATCGCTGCGGCAGTTAGCAACGCCCCGGACACCGACGAAGACTACAATGGGGAAAGAGACGACGACGAGGGAACCCTCCAACCCCTCCAGAACCGTCACAAGCGTCTACGTCTAGTTGGCCAGCCTCACGAAATGCTTGATGCTTTACTCTCACTTCTCACCCATTACCGTCCGGCCAGCTCGGGCGGAAGCAGCGGTGACAGGAGAGGCCATGGTGAACTAGAAATAGTCCTTCTCATTAACTCAATCGACGCACCACCGCTCCGGCGCCCAACTACCCAGTCCCTGCTGGCCCGCCTCGCAGCACATCCTCAAATCAAGTTCATCGCGACCGCAGATACGCCGACATTCCCGAGCCTCTGGAACTCGACCTTACTCGACCGATTCCGATTCGTGTTCCACGATTGTACAACGTTCGCTCCGTATACTGCCGAAATCAGTGTCGTGGACGAAGTGCATGAGCTTCTGGGCCGTAAGCGATTGCGTTCCGGCGGGAAGGAGGGGATCGGGTTCGTACTGAAATCATTACCGGAGAACGCGAGGAACTTGTATCGGTTGCTGATCTGTGAGATTTTGGGTATGTTATCTGACGAGAACGGATTTACCACGACCGGGACTGGGGATGTGGTGAACCAACATGACGGTGATCACTACGACGATTATGACCACGACGAGAATACACCAGGACTGCGCAATCCGCCATTCTCGAAACACGCTGCCACCAAGCCCGAAACGGCCGAGCAAGTCGGCGTCGAGTACAGGACACTCTATCAAAAGGCGTCGGAAGAGTTCATCTGTTCGAGCAGCATGAACTTTCAGTTTCTACTGAAGGAATTCCACGATCATCAAATGATCACGAGTCGACGGGACGCCAGTGGGACGGAGGTGTTGAGCATTCCACTTGACAGGGGTGAAATGGAGGCTGTCCTGGAAGAACTAGTCATTTAGACAAGAAATGCGGAAGCAGACCGACCGTTGGATCACACGGATCATCCCAAGGATCCAAGCGTGTTAGTCTATCTACAATCAACTAGACTTGAAATCCAAGACTGAGCATAAGAACGCCAACCCCAGCCTATGCCTATGCCTATGCCATTTTGTCTTGTGGGTGTCCTTTCCCCTCTTGCCCCTTTCACGCCTTTCATGCATCCTTTTTTCGGGCGGCATTTCGAAGCAAACGCTTCCCCTAGCTCCATATGTCCATGATGAAATGGTCAATTCGACATGCAGAACGCACCAGGACTACCAGCCCCTACCGGCCATCTTCTCAGTAGGAGCCATGGTGCCGCAGTTGATGCCCACCATAGCCTCACCCAAACCCTCGCTACACTGCGCCAGCACCTTTGCATCTTGGTAGTGAGTGGTGGCCTGGACAATGGCCTTTGCTCGCTTGGCGGCGTTGCCGGATTTGAAGATGCCACTGCCGACAAACACACCGTCGCAGCCGAGCTGCATCATCAGCGCCGCATCGGCCGGCGTGGCGATACCTCCGGCGGCGAAGTTGACCACGGGGAGTCTTCCCAGCTCGGCGGTCTGCTTCAGCAAAACCGCGTCACAGCCGATTTCCCTCGCTAGCGCTCTGAGGGCACCCTCGCCCTCGGCTAGAGCGGCTTGTGCGCGAGAAATGTCCTGCTTGACCGTGCGCATGTGCTTAACGGCCTCGACAACATCGCCTGTGCCAGCTTCCCCTTTTGTTCTGATCATGGCGGCGCCCTCCGCAATCCGGCGCAGTGCCTCGCCCAGGTTCCGACACCCGCAAACAAAGGGCACTCTGAATCCGCTCTTTTCCACATGATACGTGTCATCCGCCGGTGTAAGGACTTCGCTTTCGTCAATATAGTCAATTCCCAGGGCTTCGAGAATCTGGCACTCGACGAAGTGCCCGATACGGGCCTTTGCCATGACTGGGATCGTGACGGCGGCTTGGATTTCCTTGATGAGGTGGGGGTCCGACATGCGGGCCACGCCACCATCTTTTCTGATGTCGGCGGGTACGCGCTCGAGAGCCATCACTGCGCAAGCACCAGCTTCTTCGGCAATACGAGCTTGTTCGGCGTTGACCACGTCCATGATCACGCCGCCCTTGAGCATCTGTGCAAGCCCGGCTTTGACGGCGAACGTGGGGACGGACGGTGTGCCATTGGCGGCGGATGAGGTGGGCAGAGTAGTGTTCGACATGGTGCCGTTGTCGTTCATCACCATGTTGTAGTCAAGGATCTTGAGGACGAAGGTGTAGATAGAATATGGGCGAGAGTCCAAAAAGAAAACAGAGAGAGGAAGACAGAAGACAGGTACTCGTAACTTGAGTCACCACGGCGGGGGCAAGGACAGGACGGCAACAGGTGCAAAAGGAAGGCCACGGCGAAGCCAAACCCAAAAAGGAACAAGACCGCCGGTATGATGGTACGTGTAATTGGACAACTGATTTCCAACGTAGGCGACCGATGGATTAGACTGCGCCCTTGGACAACTAAAGTCCGACGGGACAGGGAAAAATGGGACAGAACAATTTTTTTCCCTCCTCCCCGCGCTCTGCTGATCAGATTCGCGTGCGAGTTGCCCGAGGGAAACGTGACTGTGGCGGCACGTGGCCCACTCTCTTATCACGATAAGATACGTACCTACTCCGTACCATCCGTTATCGGGCACGTGATATTGGTGACATGAAGATCTGAGGCACGTGACGGACCTCGACTTCTCGGGATAGATGGTCAACCACCGCATCCAACCCCCGTCGGACCTACAGTTTCAGTCTCCAGTCCTCGCCAGAGCCAAAGCAGAGAGATCCGGAAACAAACACATGGCCTGCTTCGATGACAGTCCCCAAGCCCCTTGTCAGGTAGAGCACCTGGATTACACCTAGACTGCCTCCCTTCCGGCCTCCCTGTCTCTGCTGAGCGCTTCCATGCGTTGCTTGAATATTGTGATATTGTCTCGATCCAGTCCCCCGACCACCATCTCAGTGAAATGTTCACCGATCCAACATGCCGGACCCCAAGATTGACGAAATCTCCACCCTCTCAACACCTTCCTCGGTGCCGATGTCTGTCCCTGACCTTCCCGAGGATTTATTCCTGCTGGTGTTGAAAGACCTAGCTGCATGGGATCTTGTTAGCTGCCAACGCGTATCCAAATCATGGCGTGCCACATGCACCAAACCTGAATACATCCGCCTCGTATTGCAGCACCACCCACGGACTAAAGAAGTCCGGGAGCTGTCTCCAGGGGCGCTGCTTTTTCGCCCTCTGCCGGGCTGTGATATCGACTGGCAAAGTATACTCCTCACTGTCGCCTCGCGCTACCTCAGTCTCACCAAAGGCACTGCCAGAAAGGTGTCTAGATACCCTATGGCCGCGCTGGAACAATTAGGCGATTGGTTCCCTGTTGGGCAATGGGACTATCATGAAAGTCAGCCCGGAGGTCGGCTGTATTACGAGACTGCCACCATGCATCTCAACAGGATGGGCTCAAAACCGTTCTTGTTCAGGCCTACCTTATGGTCATACGACGACGGTCTCCTAGTATATGCACCTTCTCAGTGTAGCAAGGACGGACACATTCGCTTCCCCCAAATTCTGGCTCTGTTGGACATAGCTACAGGCGAGAGATGTCCCGTTCCGTTTGATATTCGCAGTAAGATCATTCGCAATATTCGGCTCAAGGAGCGGACAATGATCATCGAATGGGCCGAAAGGGATCCCTTTCACAACCTCAACGCCATGGAGCAGGTTAATCGACACTTTGCAAGTTGCTTCGATGTCCATCGCGGAAAAGACCAGACTTCCTGGACCGTTGACTGGCGTTCTGAGTGGAAGATGCACTTCCTTGGTCTGCCGCCCAACTACCACGACCGGTTCTTTTCAACTCACACTTCTGCTCACTACGCGGTCTACTTCTGGCAGCCCAATCGAAGCATGTACACCGGCGATGAGGAGATGCCAATTGAATCACTCTCTGTCTGGGATATCTCAACACCATCGTCGTATCAACCGTCTGCTGATCCATCAGGAAGGTCCCGGCCACCAGAGAAAGAGGGTCCACATATCGTCTCGAAGTTCTCGTTCACGGACATGGAGTTTGTCGGTATAAGGCAACACGCTAGTATCGCGCTCATGTCTCTTCACCTTGACTCTGAATCTCTCTCGCTCACTGTGCGAGAAAATATTGCCGTGGCTGGACAGGGATATTTCGACCCTGCGGAGAGATTATGGTGTGCGAAAACCACCACCTTCCCTTTCCTTGGGCAGGGCCCTCGGCTATACAGGGAGTGGGATGGAGGACTCCCACCCTATCGCGGCCATTGTACTATGGAGAGCGCCGACATCGAGGACGGCGAAAAATGGTTCCTACCGGTAATGGATGTCGTTGATGCCGAGGCCGGCGTCAGACTGAGTCTGGTGGAAACATGTATCTCCGGAATGAACGTGCAAAACCAATTCGTGATCAGGATGAAGACGGAGACAGGAGGCATTGTCAGAGGGCAGAAAGAAGAAGATTGCGAGCTCGAATGGGTTACGCTGGCAGGGGGGTTGACTAAAGAAGTAGCCGCAATGGGACGGATCGCCGGTGATGAACGGTGGTTAATCGGACAAAACGAACGAATGGAGATTGTGGTACTGAAATTTTGACTCCTTCGTTGCTCATCAAAGATATACAGTACTTGACATCAATCACCGCAATGGAGGTTTGTCGTGTCTTTGTCGGATGAGCCTGCAAGAAGGAGGCGAGGTTGAAAAGGCTGTATTCTAGTGGAGGCCTCGGGAGAGTAAGTCCTGGCAAACGCAGGATATTGTAACAGTATTACTGTACAGAGAATGATTCGTCTGCCTGTGTAAGCCATGTATTGAATAGAAGCTTCCTTTATGCTCTGTGGGCGATACTCCATGTACCGTAAAGATCCCAGGCAACATGGCCCAAAAGAAAATTGATCAACTCAGAGTGATAGGTCTCTGTTCCAAGGATCCCGTCCGGCGCTATGCACATCTTTCTGTGTCGAGGTTCGGGACTATGCCTATAATCCTCCTTCTTTGCCTCTTCGAAGTAGCTCATCCTATCGTTCTCATCTCAAGAGCTATGTTCATTTCCGTCGAATTGAGGGGATGCAACAGCGTGGTGGCTGATGAACGGAAGCGAGTGGAGGTCAAGGATTGTAGGCCGCCGATAGAACAAAGGAGAGGCTGCAAGTTTCAATAGGGGAAGTATGTCACGTCAGTTAAGCCGATGAGGTGGTACAGCGGAATTAAAGGGGCGTATGCGAGATTGGAAAGGAATGAGAGTCTGAGAATCAATGTCGCGAAGGGCGAAATAGCGAGGATGCGAGGGCCACCTAAGGCATCAAAGCACAGTGCCTACACCGAAATTAGGCAGCTAGTGACAACTGCGGTTGCACCGAGTCCGCGCGGAGGAAGGAAGGGTGCATGTGCAGGAGAACATACCTGTAGGTTTATGTTCCAGACACCTTTCCGGCCTAAATCTTCCCATCTGTCACTTTTTCTTCTCCAACTCCAAGCACAAGGCTTTGAGAGATGATGAAAAAATGAGTCACTTTCAACGTGTGACTTTGTCTGGTTTATCGTAGAAATTTTGGGATATAGATATTCTCCAGTAAAAAACAGCATGTGTCAATATGCAAGCATCCTTGTAAGTTGAGGGGTCATAGATTGTGTTGAGATGACTTTTATGTAGAGGGAATAACAGTGAACCGTTTCCAGGCCTTGATGTGTGTCTGAACTTGAAGAGGTTGAGCCGCAATGGTATTTCCAAGGACCAAAGAGCGTCGAAGTGTGTATACATCAAGGAGTGTGCGGCGATAGAAATGAACATGGTGGTGATAGTAATGGCGGGTAGTGATGGTTATAGGATCTAGTATCTGCTCTCTCGGTCTCTCGTATAGCTTGGTGTAGTGATGATGGTGATAGGGTCTGCCCTCCCTCGCTCGCTCTCTCGCTCTCTTGTATAGCTTGGTCTGATGGTAAGCGTGACAATCCTCTCTCTTCCGAATGGCAATGACAATGAATTCAACACAATCCCAAGACTCCGCCACGGCATCTCTCGAAGGCATCTCGAGGGTATCTCAGGGCAAACAAACAACCAAGACACATTCTTTTGTTTGATTTCTGCTCTTCACGTTTTTTGTGGGGTTTCTCATTTTCCTTCTTTTTTTAAAAGTGATAAAACAAAACATGCCAATGCCCAAGCCTCAATGCACGATGCACAGTGCCCAAATGCCCATGCAGAAAACCAAGAAAAGAAAATTTCCAGAACAAAGTCGTCCTCTGGTGCCGGGAATGCCTCAACAAGGCTTGCCAATCCAAGTCGAGAAGTTCGATATCGGGAAAGGCCGACGGCGAGCGAGTTCGGCCTTCAACGCCTGGCGGGCCTGCTCCAGAGGCTGGTCGCGCTGTCGGGCCATCTAGCTCTCGGCGGCGTTGGCGTCCCCGTCTTCCAACACGACAAACAGGTGCTTCGGTTCCCCCCACAGGTACGAAACCGTGCACGGCTGAGGTTTCAAGGTCGTGTCACGGCGACACATCTTAAATTGGACCGTTTTCGGGGTGGTGTAGGCCACACACCGGTCCACGGGGCAGCAGAACCCGGACAAGGCGGGCAGAAAGGGATGATGGCCGTTCTGTTTCGCGCGCCGGCACCCGTTTTCGTCGTCCTTGACGAGGTATCCTTGGTGCAGGTACCGGGTGCAGATCTCCTGCCGCTCGGCCGGGGTGAAGAACCCGCCGTGGTGGTTGTTGAGGTGGTTGGTGATGGACGTCAAAGGAGGGAGATGTCGTATCATTCCAAGTCGGCACGGTGCTGGCGATGTCTCAACTGCCCGTCTAGCCTCTGGCCGGCAAATCTTCGTCTGTCCTAGTCGACCGTAGGTCTGGACAGACCGAAGGGCCCGGCAATCAGAGTGATCAGTCGGCAGTGGTTCATCGCTCGTCAGCACGGAGGGATCAACGGCCCATCTGGGAGAGTGGTACCCACTCTATCTCGAGGCTCGAGGCCGCTTGGGCGCGCCCGTACGACGGCCGGCGGAATTGGCGTCAGACAGACAAAGTCGGGTTTTGGCAGCGGCTGCTCCCAAACGACTGGCCGACGCATCATGTCGGCTTTTTTCTCCGCCGTTCCGCGCGGGGTCTTGAGAATGGATGCCGACGGCTCTTCTGGTGGGAAAAAGCCGGCAGGAAAAGAGTGGCCAGGCGTATCGTACTGGCTGGCGTGGCGTGATTTGAAGAATCCGCGCGTCTTTTCGCCCTTGACGAGCCGAAACATCTTCGCGAAGATGGCGCTGCGTACTCGACAGAAGACCGACAGAACGACGCCCATGTTTATGGTGGTAGAGGTGACTAGAGATGAACAAGGTAGAGAAGGGATAGGATGGGGTATGGTGGTGATGGTGACAGTGACGGTGATGGTGATGGTAGCTATAGAGGACTTCGTTAGTAATCAGCCTTGTCAAGAACGAAGGGTAGTACAGATAAGAGATAGGAGGGAAGGTAGGGAAGGTAGGGAAGAGATGGGAAGAGATGGGAAGAGATGGGAAGAGATGGGAAGAGATGGGAAGAGATGGGAAGAGATGGGAAGAGATGGGAAGAGATGG